CTGAGACATGGTAAGAGTTCTTAGATTATACACAAATAAAAAGTTTGTTAAGAAGTATATAAGATAAGAGGGCTTCTACGTCCATAGTGGCCAGGATGGGGGTTTCTGGAAGATCACCGATGGATTGTAGTTTCCTCAGGAAGTCAGTGGTGTCTCGAAGATAGCTGGGAGTGCTGGTAGCGTAGGGTCTGAGGAGAGAGTCTACATAACCAGACAAGCCTGATGTTAGGGTGCCAATGCCTGAGATGATGGGGCGTCCAGGATATCCAGGTTTATGGATCTTGGGTAGCAAATAGAATACCCCTGGTCGGGGTTCTAGGCATGTGTCTGTACAGATTTGTTCCTGTGCTTTGTCAGGGAGTTTTTTTAGCAGATGGCAAGCTTGATTATCACTTCAAAAGTTTTTTTTCTCTTAATTAATTGGCCTCTCAGAGGTGGTAAGACAACTCCCACCTGTTCATGCTCTCTGTATGTGTGTATATATATCTCCTCAATATATGTTCCATTCTATATGCATCCGAAGAAGTGGGCTGTAGTCCACGAAAGCTTATGCTCTAATAAATTTGTTAGTCTCTAAGGTGCCACAAGTCCTCCTGTTCTTCTTTTTACATTTCCCTAGGCCACTTCCCCACAGCTCTCCTGCTTCTCCCTTACCTTAGGGTTCCCTTACCGACGGTTTGAGGGTGTCTTCATTAACCAGCCCCTCAGCTGCACTTCCTCTCCTCTGGCTCCCTGGGTCTCTTCAGCCTGACTTGAATGAGCCCTTTTATAGCATCAAAAGGGCCTTAACTAGAGTCAGGTGTTCACATTACCTTAATGGACTTACCTGACTCTTTGCAGGTTAATTGGAGTCAGGTGTTCTCATTAGTCTAGAGCAGCCCCTGCTCTGGTCAGTCAGGGAACAGAAAACTGCTAATCCAGTGGCCAGTATATCTGCCTTCTACTACTTTGTTGTACCCAACTGGCCTGGGTCTATCACAACACCCTTATATTATATACCAGGGGTCAGCAACCTATGGCACGTGTACCAAGGACGGCATGCGAGCTGATTTTTAATGGCACACTGCTGTCTGCCGGGGACCCCGCGGCCAGCCCTGCTCAACCCGCTGCCGAACCCAGGCCAACAGCGGGCTGGGTGGGGCCGGGACCCCGGCAGGCAGCAGCGTGCCATTAAAAATCCTGCCCAGCCTGCTCTTCTCTGCCCACTGCTCTCTCCTGCGGGGGCAGGGGGCAGAAGCTTGGTCCTTCCGGCTGCTGCTGCAGGGCAGCCTCCACCGGCAGCCAAGCTCCCTCCTCCCCTGTCTCTTGCCCCAGCGTGCTGGGTTCCTGCCCCTCCTCCTCTCCCTCCCTGCGGCTAATGGAGAGGGAGGGGGAGAAGCGGAGCCGGAACTGCAGCTGTAGTGTGCTCGCTGCTCTGGAGAAGAGGCGGGGACGGGGCCTTGGGGAAGGAGGGTGGAATCGGGCATATCTCCTCCAGCCCCCTGCCGTGAGCTGCTCAGGGCAGGGGGCTGGGAACATCCCCATGACTCCAGCCCACCCCCCCCCGATCCCCTGCCCTGAGCCCTGCATCCCCCAGCCCTGAGCCCTGCACCCCCCTCACACACACCCAGCCCCCTGCCCTGACTCCTGCACCCCCACACCCCATGCCCTGACTCTTGCACCCCCCACATCCCCACCCTGAGCACCAAACGGAAGCTCCTGCACACACACCCCACATTCCCACCTGCACCCCTCACAACAAATTCCCAGGTAAGCACTCCACATCCAACCCTCCTGCCCCAACCCTGAGCCGCCTCCCTCATTCTAGCTCCTGGCCAGACCCTACACCCCAACCCCCAGCCTGATCCTTCAGCCCTAGCCCTGTGCTCAGTGCACTCCCACTCTCAGCTCAGTGCAGAGAGAGAGGAAGAGAATGGGCTAAAACCAGGAAGAAGGTAGGTACTCACTTTATGTGGGCAGGGCCGGGACCCCAGACCGGCAGTGGGCTGAGCGGGGCTGCCAGCCAGGGCCCTGGCTGGGAGGAGCTGGTGGATGGAACCCCAGACCAGCAGCGGGCTGAGCCACTCAGCCCACTGCCAGTCTGGGGTCCTGGCCGCTGGTCCCGCTCAGCCCACTGCTGGCCTAGGTGAATGGAACCCCAGGATGGCAGAGCGGGCTGGCGGCATAAGATCAGCATTTTAATTTAATTTTAAATGAAGCTTCTTAAACATTTTGAAAACCTTGTTTACTTTACATACGACAATAGTTTAGTTATATAATATATAGACAGAGAGAGACCTTTTAAAAAACGTAAAAATGTATTACTGGCACGCGAAACCTTAAATTAAAGTGAATAAATGAAGACTCGGCACACCACTTCTGAAAGGTTGCCGACCCCCGTTATATACACTAGCAACAATACAGTTACAAGCATTGGCCAAATACTCTCAACCAGATCAGGACTGGAAGACTCCATCTCATCATGGTGTGACTCTACAGGGGTAAGGAAAAGCTCTGATGAAGAACACCTAGAAAACTTTGCTCTCTCTCTCTTCTTTTTTTTTTTAAATATACTATAGCAAACAAGGGATGTCAATGCTGGTTATTGGACCTCAGCTAATGTCAGCTGAAGCAGTTGAGGACTGCACTCTGCTCTCCAAGTTATTTTCCCCCTTATCTCTCCATTGCCATATTTTCCCTCAACTACTGGACTAACCATTTCTAACCAATTATTTGTTGCACCTGATGCCCAATTAATCATGTTCTCTTTATTTCCCAATTTCTCAGTAAGAAATGCAATGCCGATATTGCAAAGCATCACTACACAAACAATCCTTCTCTCTCATAAGTTCATTCATTTTGGTTATGTGCTTTGGGCCTATTACTTATGCTAACATCCAAACTGAATTTAAGATGATAGTTTCATTCAGGCCTAATATTGGCCTATAATCCTACATTGTCCCAAATAGCTTACAATATAAGCATTACAATTGCTTTTGCTCAGTCCTTTTCTTTGGCTCCCAAGCTTGCAGCATTATATCAGCACTAGTGTCAGAGAAAACAAGAAAAATATTAACTGAAAAGGAACATTCTGTTGGTTGAAAAGGTTAGAAATATTTTAGAACGTACTTTGCCAAGTTAAATATAGCCATAGGCAATGGTTCCTATTTATCAGGTCGCTGCTGTCAACATGAGTCTAATACTGGTACCAGAGCTTCAGGTTAACTGGCAAATAAAATATCAACCTTAGACTGTCACCACACAAGTCAATATGAAATATATTCTTGCTTGTCACTGTTTTTAGTGTCGCAAAGAAAAACAAAGCTAAACCAATTTCCTTTTTTCAGGTTGTTACTTAACTAACACTGGTGGAGCTGTAGAGAGAGAGCAAGTCCCTGGATATCTACAGCTTTTATGTTTTCAGAATACTGTAAAAAGCTAAAAGCTTAACTTTGATTTTTGACCAGTCTCCTTAAGAACTAGACCACTTTGTTTTGTTTATACTTCACATTCCAAGGGCTGGAACTAAAGTGTGTATACACTAAGAACTCCATTATTTATAATCTTGTATCCACCAAGTTCTCTTTCCAGTCTGCCTGTGTGTTAGTTGTGCTGGTGTAGCAAAATGATCTTAAATACAGTGATCCAATAAAATACCTGCAAGTAAAGGATTTAAAGGAGGTATTCTTTAAAGAAGCAGAAAAGAGGGTGGGGAAGAGAGAGTGTGTCAGGTCTCCTTCTTCCCTTACAGGTCATCCTTTTTAACCATCATTTGAGGGGAAAGGCGGCAAGGTTCCAGCAGTGAGTTGGCTGGGGACCCAGATGGGTAAAAGGGGAGGCCTGACAGCAGGCTCCCGAAGCATATATAAGTGATTATGGAATTATCTGCACTGTACAATTCTATCTGCCAGGTACTCCCAGACATCTAGGAATAAAGTTGCAGCCTAATTAAGCCACATTCAGCATCTCCTGTCCTTCTTCCAGCATAGACAAAGACACTCAGATGTCAAGAAGTGAAGGTCATATTTTAAACCTGCAAAAAAAATTGCTAGAGACTAACATTAGTCAGCTGCTGATACATATGAACTCTTATGCAAAGGGTTGTATATATCATGAGTACTCTTACTCAAAAGGCTGTATATATGTCTCTAGAATGCCAACGGTCAGTGCTCTATGTGGGCATGTATTTATTTATACATGCATCTCTTCTACTTTAAGGCTGGAAGATAACAAGGATGGTCATTGTAGCACTAAGACTCATAGGAAGGAGTTTTGGAATCTGTACCTGAACTTGTGGGTGATAACTGTGATATTTAGAAGTTAAAAATAAATGCAAAATAAAAAGTTACTTATAGCTTGAAAAAAAATCTATCATCTGCAATTTGGAATCTGTCCTGATGAAGCAGTGTTAGAATTAAAGAGAAGAAAAAAAAAAAAAAAAAAAAACAGATCACAAATTGCAAGGCATTCAGCAATTCTGTATTTACAAAGCTCATGCCAATGAACATTCATGTACATTTATAACGAATTAATGGTTTAGATAGTATCCATATTTTCTTAAGTAGCAACTATTCTAAAGTAAAGTACAATAGGTCACAGTAAACCTGTTTTGCAGGGGGAAAAAAACTACTAGCGGAAGTTATCTGTACAAATATTTTCTTAAAAAGTAAAACTTCAAAACTGAACACTTAACAAGGAAAAGTGACCTTCTTAAAGTCCAACAGCCTTTCTACCCCAGAATGTATTTAAGCTTCCATCATAAATCTAACACGGAAAGGACACTAATTTGGGCATGGAATTTTATTTTCAAGACCGGAGATAAAGATAAGGTCAAAATACACATTTTTTAGTCTGCCTGAACAGTTTAGTTTACCAAAAGCTAATGAACTACTTAAAAAAATCCAGTGATGCCAATACATCATTTTGATATAAAACACTTACATTCAAATAGACTATATTGCATGTGCACTATGGGGACGGGTGAAATGAAGCCTTTCCATTCTCTCAACCAAAAATGACCTACTTTTCTAACTTCTCTTGGTATGATAAATGGTGTGACAGAAATGGTGAATGCCTTCTTTTTTCTAGAAAAAAGTAATGTTTTCCCCTAATACAGAGACGTTCATTTGCCCCTACATTATTGAAAAGAGAAAAAGTTACTTTGGAGGAAGACGGGGAGTATACTTTATGCCGATGGCAATTTACATATTTCTTGCTTTATCTAGTACTAATTATGTAAGAAGGGCTCTGTCATAGGGTAGCTGGCCCCTGTAGATAGACTAGGCCCAGCTCCCCTGGATCAGGGCAGGTGAGTCCAATCAGCCAGTTAAAGGGGGCTGAGCTACACATCAGCCTATAAAGCACTGCCATTGGGCAGGAAGGTGGTGACTGATTAGGACAGGCTGTGCCTCAGGGGAGAGACACACACTGGAGTTGAGCTAACTCTGGTGGTAGGTCCCCTGTAGCAAGGGACCAGGTGCTCAGAGAGACAGCCCTGAGGCTGCTGTCCTAGACTGGGAACAGAGCTGGTCAGAACTGGGAAGCTGCCAGAGGCCCGAGAGGGGCACAGCTGAAACCTGAAAGTGAGGACTGACTTAAAAGACTGTTTTTCTGTTCGTTTCCTTGCTTCTATTAAGAAAATAAACCCCCTTGAAAGAGACTGGGCATGACAACGTACATTTGGGAGTTGGAGAGAAGCCCTGCTTGGTGACAGGCCCATTTTCCATTACACTCTTTAAGAAAAAAGTTCTGATAAAAATTTAAAAAAAAAAAAAAGTAAGGTGAGATTTAATACTAGCTGTAACAGTGTAAAAATCTTGGGAACGCCTCACAGAAGGAAACCCAGTATTTTGAGTAGAAATGTAAAATTTAATCTTAACCAACTTAGTTTTATTTATACATAACAGAAAAGCTTAAGATTCATAAGAACTATTTTAAAATATGGCCTGATTTTCAGATACTGGTCATTTCTGGTCACTGCATACATTTTGCATGAGCACATTCAAAAGTGTTGGTGAACAAAGCACCACTGATGCTTCTCTTAAAAATCAGGTCCATTATTTGTTAAATAATGGATTTTAGTCTGAGAAAAGCAAAATACTGTTGCATGTACCATACGTTAGGTAATATACTGCATCACAACAAACTGTACTTTAATCATTTTTAGCTAAAATTTAAGTGATTATGTGGAAACACCTATAATGCCATTTCTTAGATATGACTGTTGTACAGTTTAGTATGTCACTGAAATGCTGAATGAGGATTCCTTACAGCCAATGTATTAACTGCTAAGAAATATTTTTAAACTGCAAACATTACCAGCATTACATTCACTACAGATAGGTGAATTGTAATGTACTGAATGGTATCATTATGAACAGCATAAATAGAAGATGGTTGAGATATTCTAACTTGCTGTAGGGCTTTCAACTGATATTTTTTTAAACCCAAATGGACAACTCAGGTAGCAAAGCACTATACCTGAGCGTGTTTGCCAGACCAAACACTTCATTTCTAAAGTAACATTGTGAGGGTGACAATGGCTATTATGGAAAACAATATGAAAATTGATGTAGGAAACGAAGCAGTGGATTTTCTATTTCTATTGTCAAGAATGCTTACTATTAATTTTCTCTCTGGCTGAGAAAATTAAGTCTGTCCTGTAGGGATGCTAAAATGTTTCATTCTAGTATGCTATGCTTCAGCACAGGACTACTATCTTCTAACGCACGCAGCTAAACAAGAACCAGCTCAGATTTGATAAGTGTCTCTGTGGGAAATAGTGTGTAATATTTTCACTATACATTTGCATTGTTAAAATATAGTGCAACGTATCAGTACATTTCACATTCAGTATAGTCACTGTAGTTTTACCACAGTCGTAGTTTATAAAGCTGTAGGGTGCACTGATTTAAATCGAAGTGATTTAAGTCCCTTATTTTAATCAGCAAGCAGGAATTCAATCTTGTTTTGTATTTGTACTTTTAGTTTTCTTCCCTAAAGAAAGGTTCATTCTTATTGGTTGGTATAACCATTAAAACATGTTTAATCAAATATAGTCAACACTAAATTTGGTACTTTTTTGCTAAATCAGGAGGATATACACATTCATTTAAACAATTATATCGCTTAACGTACATTTACTCAGATTCTTAATTTGTACATTGTTAGAAAATGATGAATGAAGTATTTATTTACTAGATGTTTTTTGCTCTGGATTTGTGTCAAGCTGTATTTGGAAACTGGAATTAAATTACAAATATAAAAAACAGCATTTTAAAGTTGTTTCTTAGTTAAATAAAACTATTTACGTTTATTGGATATAGGATGCAGAATTTTTTTCTTTAAGCGATTTTAAAAGATTACAAGTATGAGGGGGTAGCCATGTTAGTCTGTATCCACAAAAACAACAAGGAGTCCTGTTGCACCTTAAAGACCAACAGGTTTATTTGGGCATAAGCTTTCGTCGGTTAAAAAACCCACCACTTCAGTGGTTTTTTTACCCACGAAAGCTTATGCCCAAATAAACCTGTTAGTCTTTAAGGTGCCACCAGACTCCTTGTTGTTTTTAAAAAGATTACATTAAATTTAGCACTTAATATGTTGTCAATTTCAAATTTTTAAACTGGTTCATTTTTAAAAAGAAAAATGCATTTTAATTAAATAAAAACTCAATTTTTATCCACCCGGCAAAGTTGTGTTTTCAGGTAAAAAAATGACCCAGAACTACTTACCTTACATGGGAATAAAAAAGGGCATGTTTTCTTTTAAGGCAGAAATTCAGTTACACATATTGGGGGGGGGGGGCGTGAAGGGGGGGAAAAGAGCATATCAACCATAAATAACTGTTTCAATGCTGACTATTACAATTCTTAACATACCTAAAACCTGCTTTGGAGATAGCCATAGCCCAATCTTTTGAAATCATTAAAGCTATCCTAGGTTAACATCAATCTATTCACCTTTTTTCCCCAGTGTTAATGAAGAAATTTATCTATGGTAGTAAATTACAGAAATAGTTTGCATCATTACAAAAATCAAGTGTGAAAGATTTTCCATGATGAAAGATATCTTACAAGGCAACCACTGAAAAATTAGAATAGCCAGGAGAACTTTGATACTGAAACAGATTCACATGTTCATCCTGTGGAAGAGCAGTGCATTAAAAAAGTTAAAAATACTTTGTGTTTCAGTTCAGTTGCACTTGATTCAAGTGCTGCTCAGAGGTTTCTGTCATTATAAATTAAACATGGTCGCTACCGTAGCAACCAGAAGTACCAGGAAAATGTTCATGTTCACAGAATAAACAGATGCAGTCTCTTTTGCAACAAGTTATCTCACTCCAATATGGGAGGTCATCCATTCCAGACCTTGGCATAATCTGAAAATTAATAAGAGAAGTCGCAATGAAGTTTTTAACCATTTGCTCTCATACAAGTCATCCTACCAAAAAGCACCATCTTTTGCCATCAATTACAGGTGCACGTGGCCTCGGTAGGATTTCTTTTAAAGGAGCCAAAAGCTCCAATCACATGAAAGAAAGTTAATCTTCAATTTCCCTTCTAGAGCCAAAACATGTTACTCTCAATACATATCATCTAAGGAGTGAAAGGAAAGATATAAAAATCTTTATGGGTTTCCCACATGGCAGTACAGAATACTTACCACAATGCCTCAGGGCAGCGGTTCTCAAATTTCATTGCATTGCGACCCACTTCTGACAACAAAAGTGACTACACGACCCCAAAAAGAGGGATTGAAGCCTGAGCCCCCGAGTCCTGCTGCCCCGTGTGTGTGTGTGGGGGGGGGGGTAGGGGGGCAAAGCGAAAGCCCAAGGGCTTTAGCCCCAGCCAGGGGCCTGTAACATGAGCCCCGCCACCCAGGGCTGATGCCCTTGGGCTTCGGCTTTCACCTGGGGCAGCAGGGCTCGGGCTTTGGCCCCAGGCCCCAGCAAGTCTAACGCCAACCCTGGTGACGCCATTAAAACGGGGTCTTGATCCACTTTGGGGTCCCGACCAACAGTTTGATAACTGTTTCCTTAGGGCTAACACAAATATAACATTTCAAATGCTGCTTACATTAGATCTTCATTCAATGCCAGGGTGAGGCTAACACAAAATCATGTCTGGTTGAAACTCAAAACTGACTGCCAAGAAGCACCAAAGTTGTATATCGATGGATTAAAACAACTGCCAGCGACATTTCTCTTTTGGTTGTGGTATACGGTCAGACCCTATATTATCCATTAACACACTGAATTTTGGTAACGCAATAGGGCCAAGGAGAGAGTGATCCCACTTTTTCATTAAAGAAAGCCTTTTTAAGTAATATTCAAATGATTCAAATTAAATGAACAAATAAAATTATATTTTGCGTACATTAAAGAAAAAGGCACTGGCTTAATTAATGCTTCCCTACAATAAATTTTGAAATGAGAATGTGGAATTACATAGAATATCCATATTAAGAACAAAGTTACAGTAAGTACATCACCAATTTAAATATGAAAGGAAATAATTTGACCTGAAAATGTAGATCTGTTTACACAAAGCCAGATCCTCATGAGTTACCTATCCAAGTTGCCTTTAGCAAAAATAATAATAGCTAGTTGGACAAGTCAGTGGCTTAATTTTTGGAAATAAATACCCAAAATTAATAGACCAAAAGTGGGTCAGTACCTCCCATTATGAGAGGTCAGGGAAAGTGATGGAGGTACAGGCAGATACTTACTTCACAGGACAGTCCCAGCTGTATCTGAAAAGTAAACTTCACATTTCATCATTGTGGGGAAGATTTTTTTTTTTTTAATTTCTGAATGATCTGTTATATCCACTGCTTTTGAAACCCTGAGGCAGTATTATCACAGAATATTCTTCTACTATTTTACTGCTGAAACAAAATGAATTCTACAAATGATGAGGCTGTTTGAAAATCAAGGCATATGTTTAGGGCACCTAAGAAAACTGAATCTGAAAGAAAAACCAATGGCCAGCTCCTGTCAGACACCAAGAATGTCTGATCTGTGAATTCCAGGGGTCTGAGGAAAGCTCAGTTTTAAATTTTAGTAACTTTGCTGGCATAACTGAGATAGAAGTTAATAAGTCAATTACATCAACTGCATATAGGTAATGGGTTTTACACCAGTAACAAAGTAGGTCTTCATGTCATACTGAATGTTGACATACATGTCTCTGAGTATACATCTGAAAAGTCAAAATAAGGTCTGATAGGACTGCACATTAAAAAGACGTTCCAGGATGAAGGGATGGAAGTCTACTGGTAGGAATTTCCAGGAGCACTAAAATATTTGTTGGCTCCTACACAAGAGAAAATGGGGTTCATAAGTGATCATCACAGTGAGGCTGAAAGCCACACCCTATTTATATTCTTTACCCTCTGGTCAAGTCAGAGTTGCTGCCCTAGTGTATAGAGTTGAAGCAGTCACCTGGGTATTACAGACACTAAAGCTGGTGGACTCAGCTGTAAGGAAGATCCAGAAGTCAGTCAAGGGGAAGATACACTTAAGGTGTCATTATATCTGCAAAGGTGAGAATAGGAAAAATCCTATTTCAGAAGACCTAGACCAGTGCCAATGGGCTTTTAAATCACACACAGTTTTCCATTTATTTTACATTATTGAACTTAGACACACATTACTGGACACCTACCCTTCTCCAGTCAAAGCACAGCAGGACTGAATGTGCCATGGGTGATCCTTTATGGAACTAAGGGTGAGGTATTTAGATATTTCAGCAGCTGTCATACAACCTTTCATGTCCTGCTTATTTGCAAAGATGAGAACTGCAGCCTTCCGTAAATCCTGAAAGCAAGACAGAATATTTATAGTACTTATGATGCCAATGTTATGATAAAAATCTAAAGGTTATATAATGTTAAATATATTTTCCCACAGTTACAGTAAAGTCATTCTACATTAAAATTATGCAGTAACATTTAATTTTGAGAGGCTTATTGCAACAATAAATTATAGTGGAAGACAAACTTAATGATTCATTTAGAAAGCTGTTCTAACTAACATTCCTCAGGCATCAAATTAGGGTTTGCTTCACTTCTTGGTCCTTTGGTCTTGCCACACTTCACTGATGACTAATCTAAAGACACAAATGATATATTTTCTAAAGCAGCTCAGTACGTTCAGCAAATTAGATTACTATTGGAGGAACATTCTGGAAATCTTTAAGTGAGATAATGACAGAGTCGAAGAGTTAACATGCCATCATTCCGTTGAAATTACTTCCAACACTAGGCGCTTTTTTTTTTTTAAATAATAAATTTAAATGTTTAGAAATTTTATTAGGACAGGAAAGGAAGAAACTATACTTCATAATTTAACAAATCCACCTCATACCTTAAGAGCTTTGTCACTTTTGCCTAAAGGGCAGTTCTTACTAGTAATGTTTGAATAGTTTAAGTTAGATGTGAGACATTTAAAAAATTGTCTAAACTTTCCATGTAACTAAGGCAACAAAAATAGGAGCAGCAGATTTTTTTGGAGCACGGCAGGAGAGAGAAAGACATTTCATAATCAAGAAACCATTAGGTCAAATTTTAAGAGTTCAATACCGATTAATCTGCTAGGATTAGTGGAGATCCATTTCTATATCTGGATGCTTTAAAGAAACAAAAGCAAAGTTAAGGTCCAGTGCTGCAAATCCATACTCTCACAAGTAGTCCTAATTTATAGACTAGTTTGACTGAAGTCAGTCATCAGGACAACTCACATGAATTAAGACTTCTTAGAATCATGGAAATGTAGAGCTGAAAGGCACCCTGATAGGTCATGTAGTCCTTCCCCCCCACCAATGCTGAGGCAGTATTTGAATAGGTGTTTGCAATATTGGGATCCATTTTGAAATCATGGGGAAGATTTTGAATAAAAGGCTTCTTCCCATCTATTTTAGAATTTATTTTTCACCCCCAACCCCAGAGCAAAAACTATTTTTATTGACCCGAGCCATTTAGAGACAATTTCCTTTCATTTTTAGAAACAGATTATGAATCACTCAGATAACACTGAGTACTGCTAATAGCAAAACTTCATTTTAGATCAGAAAGGAAGAAGGCATAATCCAAAGATTAACCATTTATAACACTATTTATGATTCTTTACATTAATAGGATGCAAGCAATAGTGAAAACTAATCTCAAAACTTGTTTTAGAAGCTTTCAAGCTTCTTCAAAATTTCATTTTTAGCTGTAGTTGTAAGACAGAGGAAGGAAAAACAGTACAAGTCAGACAGCATGAAGTTAAACATAGAAATTTTTTTTATAATCTGTATAACTTTTATAAAAGAAACTGCTACCTTGTTACAATAGAATGAACCCTCCTAAGAGTGTTAGAACATGGAGCATGTATTTTTCATGATATCCTGACTGTTCTTGTCTAGACACCGACAATCTAAAATTTTTAAAAAGCACAGTTAATGTACATCAATACCTATGCTAATGAAACAACTTTGTTTTTTAAAAGGTTAAGTCTTCATGTTTATAATTATTTGGGTGCTAACAAAAAAGTAAGCCTACAATCCAAAAGTATTGGAATGCTGAGTTTTTAAATATACCTCATGAGCCAACATTCTGTAAAGTTCTTCTTTTGTGATAGAAAGTCGTTCTCTGTCAATGCTGTCAACAACGAGAATGATGAACTAGGGAAAATAAAAGAAAGTTTTTCTCAGATTACACGTAAACAAGGTTTCACCTATGTATTTTCTGTAGTCTGACCTTTGCAAGAGAGACTCATTGGTTAGTAAATGTTCTTTATGCATAACAGACTTGGTCTTTTCTAACCAACACATCTGACTTCTGAAAGCATACTCCACACTCTGTCCCAATCAGATTTTGGAAGGCATTTCAGATGCTTAAATCTTGGGTCGAGTGCGGTAGCTATCTTTAGAAATCTCACATTGGTACCTTCTTTTCATTTTGTCAAATCTGCAGTGAAAGTGTTCTTAAAATGAACAACATGCTGGGTCATCATACAAGACAGCTATAACATGAAATATATGGCAGAATGCGGGTAAAACACAGAGCAGGGGACATACAATTCTCCCCCACGTTGCTCAGTTACAAATTTAATTAATGCATTACTTTTTTTAACGAGTGTCATCAGCATGGAAGCATATCCTCTGGAATGGTGGCCAAAGCATCAAGGGGCATATGAATGTTTAGCAGATCTGGCATGTAAATACGTTACAATGCCAACTACAAAAGTGCCATGCAAATGTCTGTTCTCACTTTCAGGTGACATTGTAAATAAGAAGCATGCAGCATTATATCCTGTAAATGTAAATAAACTTATTTCTCTTCGCGATTGGCTGAACAAGAAGTAGGACTGAGTGGATTTGTAGGCTCTAAAGTTTTACAGTTTTGTTTTTGAGTGCAGTTATGTAACCAAAAAATAATAAAAAAATAAATCTACATTTGTAAGTTGCGCTTTCACGATAAAGAGATTGCACTATGGTATTTTACTCGTGGGGGAATTCTGTGTCACTGCGCATGCACAGAATTCATGTCCCCTGCAGATTTCTTTGCTTCCCTGCAGAAAAATGACTTCTGATGGAGAAGCAAAGGAAAGCCGCAAGAGTGATCACGTGCCACTCCCTGGCAGGCAGGCAGGTTGGCCTGGGCACCCAGAGTAGCTAGTAGAAATGTAAATCACCGCTGGGAGGAGGAGGGGAGGATGGACAATAGTGCATGTGAGACTCTCAGTCCCTTTTGCTTGCTATTGCTTATGACAGAAAACTCAGGGTGCTTCTACATAGCAAAAAAAATGGCAGCAGTTTCAGAACCCAGGTCAACTGACTTGGACTCACACTACAGGACTAAAAATAGCAGTATAGACTTTTCTGCTCTGGTTGGAGCCTGGGCTCTCAGACCCTCCCACCTTGCTCAGTCTCAGAGCCTGGGCTCCAGAGCATTTACAATGTTATTTAGCTCCACAGCACAAGTCCAAGTCAGCTGACCCGGGCTCTGAAACAGGGATGACAGTATTTACCAGAGCTGACTTTTACCAAGCAAAATCATAGTTTTTACCCAGAGAAACTAGCTAGAAAAGCCTTAAACTGGGACTATTTTTAAAACTGTTTCATTAAGATTACATTTAGTTTTAGCTACACATTAAAACTGTGGTTATATATGGCTATAGATTCATAGATTAATTTAGGGCTGTACAAAAAAAAGTAAAACTGCAGTGGACATAATACTAATATATGTAATTATAATACTGAAGATCAGAATGTCTGTTTGATAAACTACTTATCTGTAGACATGGACCACAATTAAAAAAAAAAAATCTTCTACACATAATTCTTCAAAATGTGAATGAAAAATGCAACTATCACAATGGCACCTCCTCATTGTGTCCTATTATATCGGACCTTCGCACTGTGATTACCAGCCATCATAATAAGTTAAACTGTCATATCTGGTATAAACGACGAACATTTGGGAAAAGGTTCCATTTGAACACAAAAGAAACAATGCCTCATAGTGTCTCCCCTGTGTGAAGCTGTTGGTAGAAGGCAAGCTGGCTAAGTGACTTCATGCTACCATTTGGGATAGTCTTTAACAGATTCAGGCTCTTTCCCCAAATTCCAACCACTGTAAGTCTTGGAGTGTTGTGCAATGATTGCAATTTCTTGAAAGGGAAGAGAGCAATCTATACTACTTTGTTAGCAGCACCAGTTGACTGTTGAAGCAAGACAGGCAGCACTCAAAGCTCTGGGGCTGTCTTTCTGGGTGAAGCAGGATTCCAGTGCTAGCCTGAGGGAAGTGATGTGTAAGAGCTCCTGCTGCAGGGACTAGCATAGAAACAAATTTAGGTAGCAGGGAGGCAGCCTATTGGAAAGTGGAATGGCTATTCAACAATAAGGTAGTGTATGTTTTTGTTCTTTTCTAAACTATTTTGTCTATTTTTATTAAAGGTATTAAAAATCAACATGTCTGAAGATCTTTACGACAAATGACAGAAGTTTGCACATGCAAACTGAAATTATGGAGATTTAATACATCCTGCACAGCTCTATTAGGTGTCAGCAATTAAAAAAAAAAACCCGAACATGTTGATCTTTGAGGTGTTATAAACCAAAGTGGAAACAATACATTGGTCAGCTGAAGTCACCTCTGACCTTTCTGTCAATGGCAGCTTTATCGCTATATCATTCCTCCCACCTCAGCTGGGGTTACTTTTGTCCCCTGAATAAATGCAGCAGCAGCTGCTGACCATTTCTATACAGTGCTGCCTAGCAAAACTTTTGTTCTCTTTCCACTACTGTCACTGTTTCAAAAAAACATTACTACGCATGAGAACAGAAGCTAAACCATTCACTAGTGGTCTCCATCCCTACCTAAGTTTTGCATTCACTTGGAGAAATGTGGTGTGTATTGCTCTTATTTTTCCTCAAACAAGTTAGAAAACAGTTTCACTTAAAAACTGTGTTGAGCTAAACAAAACTCTTGTAAAATCAGTGAAATCTAAAATACAAGCTGTACACAGACTGACAGGCCCAACTGCACTGTTTAATCCCAGAGGACAAATAATATCATTTGTCTAGAATAGGATGAAAGAGTATTCTAAGTATTACCAGGAAACTGGCTGTGTGCCAAAGGATCCCATTTTTTGCTTCAGAACCATCAAGTCCAGCATCCCCTCATGTAAAGGTTTATTACAAGGCATTTGAAACACATACATAATGTATCTTTGTTTCTATCATAGTAATCAATTACAAAGTGCCTTAGCAGCAGGTGACAAATTTCAGAATAAATAAATCTCCTGATCCTGAAGTATCTATGCTAATACACATATTTAGACATGCAGATCTAACTCTCTAGTTAAAATACATTAAGAACTACTCTGTTCACTTGACACACAACTTTTGTTCCACTAAAACACTGGCGCTCAACCTTTCCAGTGGCGCTCAACCTACTGTACCCCTTTCAGGAGTCCAATTTGTCTTGCATACCCCCAAGTTTCACCTCACTTAAAAATTACTTTTTTACTTTTATTTCTGATTTTGTAAGCAAGTATCACCACATGCTATTACTGAAAAATTGCTTACTTTCTCATTTTTACCATATAATTACAAAATAAATCAATTGGAATACAAATATTGTACTTGCATTTCAGTGTATAGCATATAGAGCAGTATAAACAAGTCATTGTCGGTATGAAATTTTAGTTTGTACTGACTTTGCCAGTGCTTTTTATGTAGCTTGTTATAAAACTAGGCAAATACCTAGATGAGTTGAAGACCTCTGTGTACCCACAGGAGTATGCGGACCCCTGGCTGAGAACCACTAAAAGCTTGATTTAATGAAAATACAGAGCCATGACCTTATAACAGTGGTTCCCAAACTGGTGTTCACGAAATGTTACAGGGGGTTCTCGGGAAAAAAATCCCTAATGGCGGACAGAGCTGTCGCTAGGGTCTGCAGGCAGCACGGGTCAAGCAGCCTGGAACCCCTGGACTTCCAAGAGCTAAGCAGATCAAAGCAAGCATATCTATCACACTAAGGAGATTTAAACTTCAAGACTCCTTATAAGAAATTGAAAGGGAGGTGGATATTTTTTGCTGTTTTTAAAATTAAATAGGCAGCTTGTATTGCTTTTAAAATTATTATAAAGAACAAGTTTAAGCTTTGTTGTAACATACGTTGCTTGCCTGGACTGCTCAAGACCTGAATGACTGTGTAGGAGGAACTCTTTTGAGTTAGCATGAAGGTATTTAAGAAGCCGTTTCACATCTGATACTCCTTGATGAAACATAGGAGCCTTGTCTTATAACATACTTATTCAAAGTGATACAAGCTACAAAAGTGAGATCTTGGAAGAGTGCTGCCATTTTCATAATATAATAAAAATACTGTAATGATAAATAGTAATGAATAATAAGTAGTGTGTAAGAAGCATGTCATAAAAACAAATTTTATATTTCCAAGATCACTTTTATAATTTATACTCAGGTAAAGAAGAAAATCCCGGGGAATATTCATTTTTAGGAGGGGGTTCACAAGACTTGACATTTTAGTGAAAGGGGTTCACAGGTTGTTAAAATTTGGGAACCACTGCCTTATATCATTTACTGCATTTGAGCCTAAATTCTGTCCTTGCATATGAGTAAATTCTTCCATATCCCATTAATGTAATCTCCACCCAAGCTATCAGGACTGAAATTTACATTTATTTGCTTTATTTTATAGTTTGGGGGCAACTTCACATACCTCTGTATTTGAATAATAGGTATTCCATGATGACCGTAATGACTCCTGTCCTCCAATATCCCACATAAGGAAATGGGTATTTTTTACTACTATTTCTTCAACATTGCTTCCTATGGTTGGAGATGTGTGGACCACTTCATTCATTAAGCTAATGGAAACAACATCACACCACAACAACAACAACAAAAATTAGCAATATCTTGAAACTTCCTGGTGTATCAGTTGTGTATTGTGACAAGTTTGTTATAACAAAAGTAAATCCTTTTTGTTCACGTAACGCAATGATTTAAAAACAGTCTTTTTCATCTAACTTTTTATTAAAGAAACATTATTATTTTATTAAAGATATATAAAGACATCTTTGGTGTGAAAGATTTATTCAGTTTGGGTGCATTTTATGAGTTACAATCAATGAGTGAAGAGTCTGCCCTTTTATCTGCATTTGTAGTAGTACATAATGTAGATAGGGATAAATAGGGTATACAATTATACATGAACGTCCGGTACAGAAAAGTAAAGCTTAAATCTGACTAACACTTTGTTAATATTAGTAGCCATCTAAAAAATGTACTCAAAACAAAAACAAAACAAAAGCTGCCATGATCCAACAAGTCACCATCACTAAAGACAGTATTTTTGAATCTTGCTAGAATAATCTGAAGATAAAGTTGTCAAAGCACCTGGAAATGTAAAGGTTGTCTGATTTCACAATAGCTTCTGAAAGAAATTCTGTATCTGCAGCTGAAAATACCTCAGTACCAACTTTAAAACAATGGTTTGTTTTGTCAATGTAGAGTACAGAAGAAAAGGTTTCAGGGAAACACTCTTTATTTCTTTCTATCTAAATGTATATACCACTTCCATCATCGTAGTAATTGTGCACTTCCCAAGTATTTACAGATTTATCCTATACCCTCTTGCGAGGTAAGGAAGAGTTTGTTTTGATTTTAACTACAATGACATCACCAGACCCATAGCTCTCTATTGCAGGAGCCATAGAAGCATGATGAAATATTCTGAAGGAACTGTTAGTTCCACCAGTGACATGACTGACTAGGAGATAACAATTTTTTTTTCTTTTGGAAATAGTGGTCTGTATGCGGGTTTTGCAAACTAACTAAAAATAAAGGCAGATATGGATTTTAAATTAAGTTTCTTTCTGGAAGCTTTCACCAATGTGTGAAAGGATTTCACCACCCATCAATTACCAAAGATCTCAATTGCAGAAGAATTACTGATTCATTCTTTGTCCTCGAGAACACTCTGTGCTGAGAATCTGATTAACATGAAGCTCAACTCTAAACAATTCAACACCTGTATCTATTTTATTACTGTATACACAAAACTTAAATATTATTGAATGACAAATACCTTCCTTAGACAAGCTAAGCTGGGTTCCCCACAGTTTTCAGTCAGGTCCCATACATTAATTGTGAATGAAAGTATCAAACAAACAGAAGTTTTAAATAGCTCATATACTTACAACTGGTAAAGAATGGTGGTCTTTCCTGCATTGTCAAGTCCCACTATTATTACTTTGTGTTCTGCAAAACAAAAAAACAAAAAAAGGTGAGCTGTTGTGAGCAGCCAAAGATACCATTAGCCAAATATTAACCACTTTTCTGATATTAAAAAAAAGCAAAGACGCCTTGTCTGTTTTAGGTGAACAGCCTGCACAGAGTATGGAAGATTCCCGACTAAAAAAACCACAAATCAGTATCTCCAGAAAGAGTTGTTATACTTACAAGGGACATAAATTAAGTCCATGGTAAAGTTTTATTTTAAAGGAATGATTATTGATAAAAAAACAAATTGTTTCATGCAAAAGAGTAGCATTAATACAAAATTAAGCTTGAGAAATAAAGTAGTCATAAGAACATGGAAACTGCACGTTGACTTGCAAACTTGGTTCTGCCAATGTACTTTTTTTAGATATGTTCAGTTTGCATGAAAATGATTAGAATATGTGTCACAAAGTGAAATATCTTATACATTTTATATTCAGAAGTTAAACCAAATCTGAAGACTGTATGTAATTTAAGACTTAGATCTACAAAGCAAGACAAAAAGAAATGGTGTGTGTGTGAGAATATCAGTACTTCAAGTTAAGAACACAATTACAGAATGACTAGTATTTTAGTAATATCTAAAAATAGATCAAAAACTAAAGCTGAATATTTACAGCTGGCAAACTGAAGAAGTTGGCAACTCAACTAATTTTCTTGCAACTCAATCAAATCTAAATACTGCATATAATATTATGTTAACCCACCATATAAGGCTGAACAAGATGCCTCAGTTTATTGATTGCATATATCGATAACTTATTTAAGACTATGAAGATACCATATTTAAATGGGTAAGTATAAGGGAGAGAAGAGTTCAGTTTGAACTTTCTACTCTTAGCACTGCAACTCCTGAACCCCAAGCGCTTGACTACTTAACAGTTACTCCTGAGGGCATTCTGCGCCAAAAAATTAAAAACTCTGCACACAATAATTCAAAATTCTGTAAGTTTTATTTGTCAATAAATAAATACAGCATGGCAGTGGGGAGCACAATCTACTGGCTGCGCAAAGGTGGGAAATCACCCTCCAGCCTTCCCACCCTGGGGACACGGACTCAGTGGTGAGGCTGCACCCGATCCTGACACAGCATAAGGCCTGGGCGTGCCCCAGAGGGGTCTGGGTGTGGGGAAGTTCAGCAGGGGGTCATGAATTCTGCGCACACACTATGGCGCAAAATTCCCCCAGGAGTAAACAGTGATATGCCAAATGCTGCATTAATACTTTTGCATGCTACTGTACATATATAAGACTATTCGTAGCCTTAAAATGGCAACTATTTTCTTCACACTAAGAAAAAAATCCACAACGACAGGGGTTTTCAAACTGGGGGTCAGGACCCCGCGAGGTTATTACATGGGGGGGGTCACAAGTTGTCAGCCTCTACTCCAAACCCAACTTTGCCTCTAGCATTTATAATGGTATTAAATATATTTAAAAGTGTTTGTAATAAGGGGGGGGGGGTCGCACTCAGAGACTTGCTATGTGATAGGGGGTCACCAGTACAAAACTTTGAGAACCACTATACAACAACAAAGGGAGCTACAAAGCAGGTTAAGTTACCACAAGTCTTCTGTTTTGATTTTTCCGCTATGCATGTGCAAAGTTGGATTGGAAAATACAGTAAAGGGTATCTTTACTCTGTTCAAAACAAAGCAGAACCATGAACAGATGAAGAGTTACAATAGAATTAAAACTCAAACTTAACTATGGGGTACCAACATGTGATTCAACAAGTCATATCTAAAATTTTAGTCCATGTATTCAGAACATCACATGGATGGAAAGCTACAGCTTACTCTGAAAAAATGGTACATACTCATTAGATTTATAACAAAGTATTATAATCTTTGATATGCCTTGGAATTTTAGTTATGAAAAAGTTAAATATTTTTTCTTAAAAATACTCAACTAGGACTATTAAATATTTATTACATCTACTGTATAAGGAACAAATAGATGCAGCCCGTCATAGAACCATAATAGAATAGTACTTCATTAGACTTAATAAGAGGCCATCCTGTGGCAATGAGTTACATAGTCCAATTATGCAGTGTGAAAAATTATTTCCTTTGAGCCACTTTAAGTTTGCCATCTTTGAGGCCTGGTCTACGCTACAGAGTTGGGTTGACATAAGGCAGCTTAAGTAGACCTAATAATGTCTGTGTCTACACTACCAGGTCCCTCCGGCCGACGTAACTCGCCTGCTAGGTCAACTTAATTACTCCACCTTCGCCAGAGGTGTATGCATAAGTTAAGTCGATATAATTAAGTTGACGTAGTGGCAGTGTAGACACTGCGTTGCTTATGTCAACTTAACTCATCTCCAGGAGGTGTCCCACAATGCTCTACTGTGACTGCTCTGGTCACCGTTCTTAACTCACCTGCCCAGCAGCCAGGTACACAGGAAAAGCCACTCCCCTGTTAAAGGACCGGGAGCTCTGAATTCCCATTTTCTGTTTGTTTGTGGTGGAAAGCTTGTCTGCCCAGCTAAGCACACCAGCTCCATGCTCCAAAAGCACTCCTGGCCTGGAATACACAGGAGGTGGTGGATTCCCTGAGTGTATGGGGAGAAGAGCTGTCCAGGCACAGCTCAGATCAAGTTGTAGAAATATGGACATCTGTGAGATCTCTTGGGAGTATAATGGAGAAGGGCTACCAAAGGGATCGGCAGCAGTTCCGAGAGAAAGTAAAGGAGCTGCATAAGGCTTACTAGAAGGCAAGGGAGACGAACAGTCACCCTGGTGCAGCACCGCAGACATGCCACTTTTACAAGCTGCAGCATGCTATGCTCTGCGGTGACCTCACCATGACCCCCAAGAGCCACATGGATACCTCAGAGTCGGAGTCTTAGGCCATTGCAGAAAAGATTGAGGAGGTGGTGCTGGACGAGGAAGGAGGAGGAGGAAGATGGGAGACAGGCCTGAGGTCCCTTCCAACCCTGATAGTCTATGATTCTAGGCAAGCAGGGGATCCACTGTCCTGGAGAGTCAGGAACTGTTTGTAACCCCAGAGCAGTCCAGCCAGTCGCCGCAATGCAGTGTGGCCGAGTGTGATGCCAGAGAAGGAATCTCTATTGAGTATGCACTTAGCATTAATATTGTGGGATCACATTCTTATTTGCTATTTTTTATTTAAATAACCAGTGGAGGTAAAGCAGCTATCAGATTCTCATTGTCTGGACCAGCAAAGCAGAGGGTACCCTAAGAATTAGGTACACAGGGATGTCCCGGGAATCCTTCATAGAGATCTCAATATTTTGTGGAAGGTTCCTCTGAAGGGCTGCCTTATTTCTTCCACTGTAGTAGGACACTTTCCCAAGCCACTCCAGTATTAATTTGGTAGGCATCATCACAGTACATAGCACAGGAGCATAAGGACCTGTACCTGGACGCAGGCAGCAGCTGTTCCCTTGTCACCTCTGTTACCCTCAAGAACATAATATCAGCTAGGGTGACCTACAGGAGACTGTGGTAGTATTCATTTCAATTGCTCAAGCCGCAAACACTAGTGTCTGTGTGCCCTCGCCCAGTCATTTTTCACCTCTTCCCTTCCTCCCCATAGCTCCAGAACCTGGGGTGACAATGGGACAGGGGCACTGGAATCGGGTGGGCCATCACTGCCCACTTTTCACATGGCTGTGGTTTGGGTGGCAGGGGTCAACATTTCCCCCACAAACTGCAAGCCTCAGGCAGGCGGGGTGCAGGGATATGGGCCGGGGGTTGCTCTCATGCACCCCATACCTCTGCCCGGGGCAGGTGGAGTGTCTGGGCCTCCGCACAGTGGCCCGGGCTCCATGGTAGGCGCTTACCTCTGCCTGGATCCAGCTTTTGGACTGGGCATAGGGTGGTACCTTGGGTGCCAGAGAGCAGCAGCAGCTATGGGGGGAGGTTAACAAATATGTTGTGGTGGCTATAGCAAGCAATCCCCAATGATGCCCGTCAAGGCACGCAGTCTGGGAGGGGGAACGTTGGTCCCTGACTTCCACACTATGCCCATGTTAACAAGGGTAGGGGCATGGCCCCTGGGCCACTATGATCCCATTGTGGGTTGCCCCCCACTTCTGCAGACGTTCCAGTGCCCTTGTCCCCCAGCTGTACTCATCACGGCTGGGACGGCAAACCGGTTCAATGAATATCTTGTAGAAATGAAAATGTTCTGCTTCACACTTGCGTGGATTCTGGGGAGTGATTTTTATATAGCAAATCTGCACTGGATACTGGATCTGCACTGACAATTGTTCCTTTGTGCTTTGCATGTTTTACAGCTGAAAGTGGGGCCTTCAACTCTTCCTCCACACCGTCAGAGAGCCTCTCCCAGATAAGACGAAGGCAAAAGAGAACGCGCGATGACATGTTTAATGAGATAATGAATGCCTCTGGGACACTGACCAGAGGGTGTGGAGGATTACTCTTACAGGGAAGAAAAAAAAAAGGACATTATGAGCAGGACAAAAGCCCAGGAGAATAAGTGTGGCATGCAGCAGCAGATGTTGGGGGATTCTGAAGGAACAATCAGACATATTAAAGTGCCTGGCTGACCTCCAGGGGACACACCTTGAAGCTCTACGGTCCCAACATCACTGTACTCCCATTCCCCCACACACACATTCCACTAGGCATGGGGGGCCAGTGCAATATCCTTTCCACTCAACCCGTGGGGGGGGGGGGAGGAGGGGGTGCACAGAATCACAGCCGCACATACACTGATGCGTGACAGGCAAGGCCGGTGTGTTTCGGAACAGAAAGGGGAGAAACACATTTATCTTATTTCCAAGGTTTAATTCTGTGTCACATATTTTTGTTTACAGGTGTGTGCAATAAAAGTCCATTTCTTAAAAATGAAATCTTTACTAATTCAAAGCATGGGGGGGAATAGAGAGGGATAGGGAAACTGCAGCATTGGGGGGGCGTGAATGAATTCGCAAGAGCCGGCGTTGTGGCTAGATCCCAGGAGCCCTGGCTCCCATCCCCTCCACATTGTAAGCAGTAGGCCACACTCCCTCAGTCATGACAACCACTGTGGTGGCTCTCCATGAAGGATGAGTTGGTGGGTTGTAGCCCATTCCCCGGGCATCAAGTGCACATCCCCCTCCTCCCCGCGGTACTGCCTTTGGAGGGGCCAGGAGCTGAATGGAGTGTGGGGTTGTCTCTCCAGCAGTAGGTTGGAAGGCAGCTCTAGAAGTTCTAGTTGGTGAGTGTTGGGAGTCATTGACAGAGGAAAGCAAGAAGTGTATTTCCAATGTTACATTACTATACACACAGCAGCCACAGCAATGTTCAGACTATTGACACGCACAAAATAGAAAAGCAACACGTCACTGTGTGTCATTAATAAAATGGGTTTTCAAAAACTCCCTTAGACGCACTGCTCCATGCTGAGCTCTTGTAACCCTGGTATCCGGCTGCTCAAAATTAGCAGACGGCTTATTCACCTCCACGCCCCAACCCTGTGGAAACTTCTCTCCCTTTGCTTCACACCTATTATGAAGCATGCAGCAGGCAGCTACCATCATGGGAACATTTTTGTCACTGAAGTTTAACCTAGTGAGCAAACTGTGCCAATGACCCTTCAAACAGCCAAAAGCACATTCAACTGCCATTCGGACTTGCTGAGCCTATTGTTGAAGTGCTCCTGTCCAGGTGTCCGACGTATGGCTTCACAAGCCATAGGAGTAAGGGGCAGGCTGGATGTCCCAGGATCAATATTGGCATTTCAACATCTCTAATGATGATTTTGTTGCCCAGTCACCCAGTTTTGAAAGATCCTTCTGTAGCTCTTCGTAGTCTGCTTTGAACTTAACTATCTTGAGTAGTTTTGTATCATCTGCAAATTTTGCCACCTCACTGTTTACCCCTTTATCCAGGTTATTTATGAATATGTTGAATAGGACTGGTCCCAGTACAGACCCCTGGGGGACACCTCTATTTACCTCTCTCCATTCAGAAAACTGACCATTTATTCCTACCCTTTGTTTCCTATCTTTTAACCAGTTACCAATCCATGAGAGAACCTTCCCTCTTATCCCATGACAGCTTACTTTGCAAAGACACAGACTTTGAAAGTTCGACCCTTTCAATTTGACACAGCCAACATTACATTATTTTAACAGCACTGTTTCCCAGCTGATCGCAGTTTGGATGCACAGCTTCACAGAATAGGACTCAGAAGGATTGGGGAACCCTAGCTAGTGAGACCTTGAAAGCCTCTGCTGTTACAGTGATAAGAAAATAAGTTTGAAAGAATAGGGTGCATTAGCCCACCCTCTACTGAACTCAACCTCCCACCTTCAGTGCCAGCCTACAATACCCTCTCACCCTGGGCGTCCCCCCCTTCAATGCCAGCCTCTGACCCCCGCAACCCCATGTGTTCTTCTCCCCTCAAGGCCAGCCTACGACCCCCACACCCAAGGCTGAGCGTTCCCCCCTTCAATGCCAGCCTACGACCCCCCCCCCAACCCTGTGTGTTCCTCCCCTTCAATGCCAGCCAACAACCTCCCCCACTCCTTGCGACCCCCCCCTTGACTGCCAGCCTACGACCCCCCCTTCACACACACACACTCCAGGCACTCCCCTCCCCCCAACTCCCAGAGATAACCCCCCACCTGCTCCCTCAACACTCGAGGGACGTCCCGACCCTTCCCCATCACAGCCGGGACCCCAGGACTCCCCCCGGCCGCTTCCCAGCGGCTCCCGCAAGCCGGCAAAGCCCCGCCCCCGGCGGACGCTGCTCACCCTGGTCACAGAAGAAACTCCACAGCTTAGCAAATATCAGGCCCATGGCTAGACTAGGCTCGGCCGGGCCCGTCACGCTCCGAGCGTCCCCACGACACAAAGGGGCACGGACGCCACCGGCCGGCGCTAGTAACTCGACGGCGGCGGCTACGGCTGGCCCCGGACACGGGACAGAGCCCAGAAAGCCAAGTAGGCGGAGCCACCCTCTAACCCGCCTCCCCAGCCCGCCGCTGCAGCCAATGCCCTCCCCGCCCGCCTTGCGTCACTGCGTGGCCCAACAGCAACGTCATTACGCACATTACCTCCTCCCTCACGTGAAAAAAATAGTACGTGGCGTCACCCTCAGCCGTGGGGCTCGGTGTTGCGTTCGCCTCCTGCCCGCGGTCCTAGTGCCCCGGCCAGCAGTGCTTCGGTATCCCGGGAAAGTCCCCAAACCTGGGAATTTGTGAGTAACACGTTTTGAATGAAAATTCCCGGTTTCCCAAGTGGAGACGTGTTACTCACAGATCCCCAGGGTTTCACCAGATGGGGGAAATGTTTAGCGCTGGGTTGGGAAAAGTTGGCATCACGCTAGAGAAGCGCTGGCAGCTGACCAGTCCCTAGCGAGGCTCGGGCGGAGTTTTCCCCGTGCTCCGGAAGAGGCGGAAGGTAGGCGGGAGTGAAAGGCCGTGGAGCGCTGCTGGTGGTGGTGGGGGCTCCGTAGTCGCTGTTGGCGAAGGGGCAGTAGGACTCCCCCCCCCCCCCCCAACCACTGGAGTGGGGCCAGTGCGGTCGGGAGGCTGGAGCCCCCCGCCCCCCTCACCGGGGAGACGCGCTTCCCCTGTGGGCCCCAGATTTTCCGCGGTGCGGAGCCCAGTGGCTCCGCGCGAACGGCTCCCTGTCCGCAGGACGGGCGTTGCAGTGCGCGGGGCCCGGTGTGGAGTAGCTGTCCCCGGAGCTGCCGGAGTATGGACGTGACCAAGCGCCATCTCCGGGGCGGGGGATGGCGCTCCGTGCTGCCGTTCGCTAGTGTTACCCGGTGCAACCGCTCCCGGAGCCTGGGCACCGAAAATCCTTGCTGCTTTAGCAGTACCGGCCCGGATGCGTGTGCCCCACCTGCAGTCACGCCTGCTCGCTGTAGGGAGGGCCCTGCCGTGCGTAGTCTGGCCGGGAGGAGCTGCCCCGGTCACTTCCTCTTCACTGGGCTTTTCCGAGGCCTAAATAGGCACTTAAAGAGGCAGCTAAACACCGAGACTCCCTCCCCCCCGCCCACCCTTTGATTTAAATGGGAGTTGCGCACCAAGGCTTTTCTGAAAATTCCACTTGTTGCCTGTCTGCATCTTCAGGTACCTGAAAACGTGGCCATTGAACAAAGAGCCTGTAAGGGATTACAAAAATAAAAATATCGATGTAACTAGTTACATGGCAATACAAACACTTCTATCTTGTCACAGAGCTCAGCAGTTTCATTATAGCTGCACATTTTAGTATTAATTCAGTGAACCTTTGGTTACTTTTTTGGCCTGTTCTTGGAAGGAGTTTATGCATTCCATACCCTACATACAGGGGATGAAAGCAAACCATTTTGCCAATGGAATATCATCATGAAATACTATACCTAATGCTAAACCAGATCAGACTTATTACCACTTTTTTGTGGAGACGTGTCTGGAAGTTTTAGGTCACTTATACCATGAAAATATTCATATCAGCATCTTTATGTACAGTGTTCATACTGTAACGCTATTAAGTGGAGACCTGAGTTCTACAAGTAGATTTGATTTAAATTGGTGCTTAATTGTGTTTTGAGAATCTGTGTTTTTTAAAAAGATGTTCTTTTTTTTAAAAGAAGTCTATTCATCATGTTTCAGTTTTGAAGCATGATGAATAGACTTCTTTAAAAAAAAAAAAGTCCCCTATCTTTACTGACTTGTAAACATTCTGAAACACTAGCTTGGAGATGAGACAATGTGACAGTTCCTAAGATATTAATGCTAACATTTGATGACACTTTAAATGGAAACATTAACTTTAAGTGGTGGTTAAATTTAGTAGAAATATCAAGGCAGTGTGCTTATTGGTCCTGGGACATAGTGCTAGATACAGGGACAGGGTGCAGTGGGGCAGGTCATTTGTTTCAAGGGTTGCTAAAGTTGGGAATGAGCAATTCAACCCCCCTCTTACACCAACCTAGTCTCTGCCCATGCCCAAAAGTGATATCACCTTTCTTGTACCAAAAACCTCGACTGCTTCCTTGACACGAACAAAAACCCAAGACATCTCAGATGCTTTCCTAAGTGCCAAAAGTCCCAAGCATTCCTTTCTTAGCTGCTTTCTCCGGACATCTGCAGTGCAGTTACTCATTGTTATAAATGATACATAGTATACTGGAATTTTTAAATTTGAGAAAAGTTAATATAAATATATTAAGCACATACTAGGATGATTGGATTGGACTTTGGGTAGGGAGGGGAGAATATTGTGGAGGGTCCCTGATGCATAATTTAGGGCAAATGTACTGCACAGGAAAATGGAAGGTAGATCTTCTAGTTAACATTTGGCAAACACCTTTGGAAAGAACATTTGAAAAATATCAAATATAATAGTTATTTACCATTTACTACACTATACCAGATAGATAAGTTATGTATCATTATGTTCATTTATTTGCATTGAGAAGACATTAAATGCTTTGTTCAGAAAGAACGAAAGATCACACAATTGTATCTTAAAACCATTCACTGTGTACAGTCCTCCCCACAAATTAAAGGCTGTATCTTTATAGTTGTGATAAAACAATTTACATGAATGTGATGTTTTTTTTATTATCATTGGTCCCTTTATGGTGGCAAGCAATTTATTAATGGAATAATCAGATTGTTAGAATTAATTCTTTGTGTAAAATGCAATTTCTAATAGTTAATTAGCACATGTTAAAATACAATTAATAGTTGCACTGTAGGTGTGTCCTGAGCTATGTTTACAATTCTGAATAAAAGTACAACTGCATCATCTAGCCAGTACAAACACCACCGTAACTCATAACTTAGGGATACATCTTGTAAAAAGTTGCATTGGGTTTTAGTAAGTTATGCAAGTCCATTCACTTTACTGTGAGCCGTAATACTTAAAAAAAAAAAAAAAAAAAAATCAGTGTTTTGAAAAAATTTCTTATTGTTTTGATGAAATTCACATTGGTGAGACACCTGGAGGAGATAATGTCATGACACACCTAATTATGTGCCTCAGAATGTCCCATATATTTTCTTATGGTACTGTTGAATAACTATCATACACAACACATCCTGAATTTTTTGCAGCCCTTTTCATTTGGGTATTTAATTATGAATTATGCAAATTACATATCTTTAATAAAGAAAACATTAATGCGTTTATTGCTGTTGTTTACCAGGAAGGCTATTGCACTATAAAGGAAAATGTCTTTTTTTCCAAAAATATTACTGCAACCAGAAGTTGAAGAATACCTTGGGAACATGTTTAGAAATAAGGAGGTATGTGATAAAGATTACTCAACCAGTCAGCCTGTGTAAACAAATTTGCCTTTCACTGGTTGAATGCTGAACTATGCAGACATTTACAATCTTTTAACTTTATTTTTTGTATGAAGTTACTGATAAATGCCTCGCACAATAAAAGTATATCTTTAGTATTTAGAGTTAGAGAGATCTTTTCAGCAAAGGGTTCTGATCCTGTAATGACCTCCATGCAGAGCATCATTGACTTCAATGGTCCTGTGTGGATTCAGGAGTCTGACTGTACACTGCTCATTGAAGGATTGGGGCCTAGGATTGTTAATTCCATCTAGAAGTTACAAGGACTAGTCTAATGTGTGATTTCTAAAAGTATGAATATAGATATAAGAAGAAATTTTGTTTTTAAAATTTTGGGGATTTTTAATAAACTGAATATACTGTTAATAAATGTTTAGTTAAAAAGTTCCAAGAAAACTCATATTGAGGTATCACAATCTACTAATTCTAGTCTTCTTTAAAGTCTTCCAAGATCAATCATCACTACCACCATCCCCCCATCAAAAAGGAAAAAAACAAACACCCACCACTTCCCACAGAGTAAACAAACTACCTGAATTTCTACTGTAAAAAAAAAAAAAAGAAACAAAATTTTTCAAGCCTTCTTCATCCATCACACAAACTCATCACAACTTTGAATTGTAGTCTGCTTTTTTTGTCTCTGTATACCTGTTTGCTTTGTACAGCAAGCTAGGCATACCACTTAATAGAGCAATATCAAATCAATGAAGATTAATTCTGATGCCTGTTCCAATATCAGATTGTTTAGAATACTCTTGTTCAATAAATAGACTGGTCTTTTCAGCAGCCAGACTCTGCCCTCAAGTATGCGTATGTGATTCTCACTGAAGTCAGTGGGAGCTGCACATGCATCTGAGTGTCTATTACATGACGTATACAAAGTAATAGTTGATTTAAACTTTGAGTACAACAAGCACTACTGCATGAAGCCATTTATTATTAATATATATCTTTTTTTCTTTTAGCTCATAAGTGCTTTAGGCACTCTGGAAGCAGAGAGGAAATATGAATCTCTGTTAAATCGTCTATCTCATCCTCCAGCTTTCACAACTGTTAGAGTTAACACTCACTTGGCTTCAGTGAAACAAGTGAAAAATCTGCTGTTTGAAGAGATCCACAAGGTTTGTGCAGTTTTGTTTCCTGGTTATCACTAAAGATAGCTACATGATTTCTGGTTTTGTAGCTGATTGCAAATGCCTTTTTTCAAATAATGGAAACAATTCCTAAACTTGGTGGATATGTCTACTTTCAGTTTGGTGCTGGGATTAAAATCCTGTTAGCATTTTCAGAGTCACATGGAAACATAGGTAGAGTCTGTGAGCAGCGGCGGCTCCAGGCACCAGCGCTCCAAGCGCGTGCCTGGGGCGGCAAGCTGCGGGGGACACCCTGCCGGTCCCTGCGAGGGCGGCAGTCAGGCAGCCTTCGACGACTTGCCTGCAGGAGGTCCGCCAGTCCCATGAATTCTGCCTGCCATGCTTGGGGTGGCAAAAAAGCTAGAGCCGCCCCTGTCTGTCAGTTAAGTCCAATACTAGTCAATATCTGATTGATCAAAGGAAGTTAAAAATACCCATAGTACCCTAGAACAAAGGTGCTTTCAACAACAGGAGAAAAGACACTTTTTTTTTTTGCAAAGTTCTAAAGATCTTGAGTTTAATTGTAGATAAGGTCTAATAAAAAATACCAGCAATTGATTCAGAGAAACATAATTTCTCCCTTTGCATTTTCAAAACGTGCACATTCCTTCAGAAATTTAAAATCTATAAATAAGGATCATATTATACTCGTGGATTATTTGTATTATAGTAGCACCTGTAGACCCTAATTAGGATTTGGGCCCCTTTGTGCTAAATGCTTTACAAATGTAGAAGGAAGGCACTGCAATCTAGACAAGACAACAGAAATAGAAACTGGTAGTCCGAGAAGATATATGCAACAAGTATAGAGCTTGCTTTTAATAAAAGGTGACAGCAAAATGAACTGATGTTGCATTGTCTTATTTAAAAAGTGTGTGAAATTGAACGAAACCAAGTATCCAAATAATTTGAGCGATTCCCCCTTGCTGGTGTAACTTGTTAGAAAATGCTTTGATGTTTAGTAAATTTTTGGATTTTTTTTTGTTCTATTTATTTCATGACTGTCTTTATCTGACAGAGATAATTAATTGTAAGCCAGAAGGTCCGAAAATAAATTGTTTAGAAATCCTACCATATCTCTTCAGTCTTTCTGAGAAGATCTGGTTCGTCAATAAATAAAATATTGATATTTGTGGGTTTACAGACAGCAACTGCATGACAGGAGCCAAGACGTTTCTGTAATGCGAAAGCAGTTGACGCTACTCTAACTATTTCCTAGGAGGGTAATGAGTTATGCTTGTTTTATCATACAACTCATTCTAGGAATCTGGAACTGGTATTTTAGTCAAATATTTTGCTTTGTAAGGGAAAATGCTTTGCTAAAAACAGAAATATAGCTAGCTTTTCCATGATGATAAACAGTTTTAATTCGAAGTATACTCCAAAAAAAAAAGCTATGACATTAATGCCTGTTTTAATAACATCACAAAGCATACAATTTAAAGGAGAAAATACCTCTTTATAAGATGCGCACTGATTTCCAGTTATTGGGATGTGTGGAAAGACACCGCTTATGAAAGTCTAGGAACAGTTTTAAAATGGCAACTCAGTTTAGAGCCTTTTCAAATTAATATGAAATCAGGTCCCTAACACTCAACCACAGCTTCTCACATCCCTCTCAGTTGAAATGAGCCATCAAAATGAGCATCATCTGAGATGTCAAATAGGAAAGATCTCCACATGAATACATTGAGCAAGTCTTCATCTAATTTGAGCCTTTCTTTGGCTGTTATTAGTGATAGTGTGTCTGGCTGTTTGTAGCATGGCCCAGACTTCTAGTTCCAGAAAAAATAGGCTCCAGGAGCATATGAATGTTCAGGATTCACTCCTGTGCTCTGTAATGAATCCTGTCAATGACTCCTATTGTGGTCTTGGCATTTCTGAATGTACTAATTTATCTCTGTGTTTTAGCTTGAGTATTTATAATATACAGCATTTCCTAATGTAGGATTTCTCAGCTTCTCATCACTTAAAGAGACTGTTCTACCATTCACAGGTATAAAGTGTGAACTGAAAAATAAATTAATTCCAAGAACAATAAAGTACTTTTTAAAGCATTGTTGTTAATGTTTTTATTTTTTAAAAATTCAACAGCAATATAAAGGTCTTAGTGTGCCAGTTCTTCAGCACCCACAACTCCAGGACATCTTACTCATTCCTGTCATTGGACCCAGGTTTGTAATTTTAAGACTTTAACAACTAATTTGTGTTACTGAGTTTCACGATAGGTTTTACATTAACCATTTTTGATAACTTAGACACCATTAAAAAGTTGCAAGTGTTTATAAAGCCAAAATATGCAATCTTGTCCTAGATAACATCAATTTTTGATCTTTCAAACTCCCCCAGAATTTTGTTATATTTTAAAAGACCATAATCTTCTTTCTCCATTTATGGTAATGGACTTCATATTAGTTTTCCCTACAGCAATTGCCCTGTAGCAGAGTATGTTAGGAGGAGGTAGATTATCTCTGCTGAAGAGCTAGGGACTGTTTGGCAGGGCTCCAAAGTATAGGATCTTGCAGTAGTGCACAGTATTCCTTTGTTAGAAAACTTGTATGTACAAGACTCACATGAGTGTATTTAGGGAAGGTGGCATAAATGATAATGTTGAACAGGAATTCCAGAGTTACATTTATCTCCTTACTATTCACACTTAAGCTGTTTTTTTTTCTAGTTTTCATTTAGACAACTTTAGAGTTCCCTCATTGTTTGCTCTCTTTGAATTTTTCTATTGCTTAATTTGAGTTTACAGTTAGAAGGATAATCTAAATGATCTTTCTTATAATGAGGCTTCAAAATTACACACAATTGTCAATTGAGTTTACCAAGACTATGTCAAGTGGGCTTGTAAACTATAGGGGTCATAAACAATACTAGTGTGTACAAACTGCACATTATGGTATTTGCTATTTCTCTTTTACAGTGTTGGACAGTACTTCATTATTTGTTGTCCTGCACAGACCTTAAATCCTTCTTTGAAGTACCAATCTCTAAATAGTCCACTATTTGTACTTGTCCTTGACAAGTCTGAGTCATTACCTTCCTTATTACCAATCTGCACACAGTTGCTATTAGCAAAATTCCCTGCATCCTGTTAAAATGTTTGTTGTAATAAAGATTTATGGCAGTTATTAAATTTAAAAGGTCACTTTTTGAGTATCCTGCTTGAACACTAAGTTGTTACTGGCAGAGAAAGTGGAGAAGAATGATTTTCACACTTGTTAACAACTTGATTTTGTATATTGGTATCAGATTTTTGGCAGTAGCAGTTTTGGGGCTGAATCTGCATTTTTCCAAGGACTGTCACTTGGTTTTATTCTTTACTTTATTCAGGACTGAACTACATCTTGTAAGTTTGATATACAGTAGGTGCATATTTCTCCACCACCCTTTCTCAAACAGCATGTATGAACTGACACTTTTTTCCTGAAATAGACTGATGTCAGCAGGTTTTTGTAATGAAATTACACTTTGTATCCTCAGGAAGGATCTACAAAAGCAATCATCTGAAGTCATTGTTGGAGCCCAGTGTGGGAATTCAGTGCTACGAGGAGCGCACGTCTTTGTTCCAGGAATCATATCTGCTTCAAAATGTAAGAGTTAGTTAATATATTCCAATAGAATTTAGAGGTGGGAAACGACCATGCATTCCAGTTGACATCTAGTATCTGTTTTACTTTGGTTTTGTTTGCATGATTTTTCTTGCACAATACATATACCAAAATGGTGAGTGCTACCTCTCCTCTTCTGTGCTGCTTTGAGTTCTCTCTCCTTTTTAGAGACTTCAGTTTCTTAACAGCAGGATTGTCTGTCTTTGATATTTTTACATTCTTCTTCTTTTGACTTGAAAAAGGGTTTTTTTTACAAACATCAGATGTTTTCAAGTGATACATAACCTGACAAAACTGAAAAGTTAAGCCATTTTGGTGTATACCAGAGAGATTAATTTTGTAGATTTTCTAATAAGCTACAGTAGTTGCTATTAAAGTCAATATTTACCCTCAGTACTGTCTTGTGTCTCTCTTCCAGTGCCAGTGGGCTAGAAAATAGTCTTTTACATATGCTCTTGAACAGTGCTTAGTTTTCAGCTTCATATTGAAACAATTTGTGCTATTTATTATTTAAAGGTCAAACTAACTTTTATAATATAATTGTGGATGATTCACTTTGTTATTATAGTGGTAGTGACTATGGCTGTGTTAACCACAGCTCTTTTTTTTCCCATCTAGATCAGCGTTTCACAAACTGGTGTCCACGAGGGTACTCCAGGAGGTCCGGGGGCCCCGCTGATCAACTCCTCCCCCTCCCTCCCTCCCTCAATTCCTCCCCCACTCTCCCAGCACCTCCTGCACGTTGGGGAACAGCTGTTCAGTGTAGTGCAGGAGGCACTGGGAGGGAGGGGGAGGAGCGGGGATGGGGCATGTTCGGGGGAGGGGGCGGAAAGAGGCAGGGAAGAGGAGGGGTAGGGTGGGGCCTTGTGTGAAGGGGTGGAGTGGGAGTGGGGCCTGAGGGGGGCTTTGGGGTCCGCAAAAATTTTTAAATCAAAATGGGGGTCCTCGGGTTGCTAAAGTTTGAGAACCGCTGATCTAGATGAAAGCAAATTTTGGCCCTGAATAAAAAAAGCACTTATACATGTGCTTAAATTTAGTCCTATTCAGAAAAGTACTTAAACTCATGCTTAACTTTAAGCATGAGCTGAAGTCCCATTGAATTAATACAGTTGCTCTCAAACTTTTTTTACTGGTGACTCTTTCACATAGCAAGCCTCTGAGTGTGACGCCCCTTCTAACTTAAAAACACTTTTTCATATATTTAACACCATTATAAACGCTGGAGGCAAAGCAGGGTTTGGGGTGGAGGCTGACAGCTCACGACCTTCCGTATAATAACCTCGTGACCCCCTCAGGGGTCCCGACCCCCAGTTTGAGAACCCCTGACTTAATATGTATGTTTTCCTGAATCTAGGCATTTATGAGAAAACAAGTAAGTTGCTTCAACTATTGTTGAAACAGCTTTCATTTTGTACAGTTCTACTCAAATATGCAAAATACTTACTGGGTGAGCAAGTGATTTATCATCATTGCGTACATTAGCAAACAGCATCAAATAAAAGGGAAACATACTTCAATAGGACTTTAAAAATATTTTAGAGGAATTGCAGATAGGAAAATGAAGTAGGAGAGTATGCTGTCAGCCTGAAGTCAGGTACAATAAAGCCCTGTATCTAGAAATTGCACTCAGCACAGATGGTATAACAAGACATGAATGGTAGTGCATAAGTGGGCCTCTTAATCATTGATCAAGTTAAACAGATAAGGAATCAGTGATCGAAGGTCTTTAAGCTTAGTTTGACAAATCTTAATTTTAAGCTTTGGGTTAACCAATATAGCTGCCTGAATGGAGAGAAAACACAATTATTGCAAGTTATAACTAAAAATTCGACAGATTGCTGCTGTATTCTAAAGAGATAGATAACAAGGGGAAAAATCTTTTGGCTTTTCAAGTGAGGATGGACAAATAATTTGATGGGAGGTAAAGTTAAATATCTGCAAATTTTACAAATACTAGGTAGATGATAGCAACATGGAGTGTCAGTGTTTTGGGTATTGTAGATATCCCAAGAAGAAAATTATCTAGTGTAGAATTTATTTCTGGCTACAAGAATTGATCATAAATATAATACAGTTTTGAAAAGTTCTAAAAGCATGTGTCTATAATAAAATGATCCTTTCCCTCGGGCACATTTAATCTAGCCTCTTGGTCATAGGAAAGATCTCTGAAACACAAACTCTAACTCTTTTGAGGAGCTTTAAACTGCCACATTCATTCCCAGTTCAAAAGCTTAGTTTTGCCTCTGTAGTTTTCCTCTAGTACAACCAGCCAGGCCCTTCAATAAAGAGATCCTAGAAAAGCATCTAGGGAGAAATCTCTAAGCGTGGTTTGAGTAATAGTTGCTCTCAGAATGAAGCTTTTACAAGTAGAGGCAGAGCTCAGCAAGTCCACATGTGGACCATGTTTTCTTACTGCTTTATTCCAAGCAGGCTTAACAGAATCTCCTGTACCAGAAACCAAAATGTTCTTCAAGCTCTTCTAGGCAGCAGTGCAGCAAGATATTGAAGACAGTGGGACTACTTGTATTCTTATGATTAGGCACATGCTTAAGTACCTTGCTCAACTAAGTCCTTTACACAGAGCTGGCTTCTCTGTTATATTTTGTGTGCAGAAAATAATTAGGCAATGGGAAAACTGCCAGGTGACTTTGTGGACTAGCCAACACTGGAGATACTCGAAGCTCGTCTTGACCCTAAATGAATATTGCTGTGATGCAAGGGGTTGAAGTACATGGCCCATTAGAAGTCCCAGATGAGTTGGGCACTGTTCTCTTGCCAAATAATGCATTTTTAAAAAATCTCTTTCTTTCCCTAGTTATGAAAGCTGGAGATGTGGTCTCTGTATACTCTGATATTGAAGGAAAGTGTAAAAGAGGAGCCAAAGAATTTCTGGGAACCAAAGTTTTTATTGGAAATGGGATTTCTGAATTGAGTCGCAGTGAAATCTTCAGTTCAAATGGCTCACTCAAGTAAGTCCATAGTAACTGCAATGAGGATTAAGAAACTGCATTTATTTATTAAAAAAGGTAGGAATGTAGAAATATTCTGTAATACACATAAAGGCAGATTGTGGCTTTGAATGAGATGCTACATTGGAGGCATGTGAGAAGGGACATTAAGGGAGTGGGAGCTTTGGGAAGAATTTTGGCTGACTCCGTAAAAATTCCTTCTGGGCTTAACAGGAGTGTACATTACAACAGCTGCTCTATGACCCCTTGAAAGGGTGCAGCATGCATTTCCTCCACCTGATGAAGAAGAGAAAGAGCATCTTGGAACACTGACTCACCACCCTAGTAAAGAGGGCTGTAATCTAGATTCCAAAGGGGCAGGTGACAAAAGGCTTCAGGTTAGGTATAAAAGAAGGTGACCTTAACAGAGGGCTGAAAGTTAGGACGGATGGGGGGGAATGGCAAATTACAATAGGGTCATAGGAGTAACAAGAGGGAAAACAGTGGGGGAGTCTGCACATCTTAGATGACTATACACAAATGCCAGAGCTATGGGGAATAAACAGGAAAAACTGGAAGTCTTAATACACAAGCGAAAGAGACTTGGTGGGATAAATCTCATGACTGGAATATTGGGGAAAAAAAGAGTATAACTTGTTCAGGAAAGACAGGCTGGCGGGGGGGAGGGAGGACGCATTGCATTGTACCCATCAAGAATGTACCCACTTGTTCTGAGGTCCAAAAGGAGGTTAAAGGCAGGCCAGTGGGAAGTTTCTAAGTGAAGATAAAAGAGGGGGAAAACAGTCCAACAAATCAGGGGGAGGAGGTGGATGAGGTATTTCTAGAACAAACAGAAAGATCCAAAAAACAAGATCTGGTATTAATGAGGACTTTTACTACCCAGATATCCTTTGGAAAAGTAATATGGCAAAACACAATGTCCAGTAAGTTCTTGGAATGTGTTGGGGACAACCTGTTTTAGATGGTGGGTAAGTAAGCAGGAGCACTGTCATTTTAGATTGATTGTCATTGATTTTGACAAACGGAGTATTAGTTGTGAGGGTGAAAGGCAACTTAGGTGAAAGTGATCATGATGTGATAGGCTTCCTGATTCTTAGGAAAGGAAGTGAGTGAGAGCCACAGAATAAGGACAATTAGTTTTAAAAAAAGCAGACTTTAGCAAACTCGGAAAACTAGTAGATAAGGTCCCATGCAAAGCAAATCTAAGGCAAAACAGTCCGGGAGAGCAGGCAGTTTCTTAAAAAGACACAATATTAAAGACACAACAGCAAACTGTCCCAATGAAAAGGAAATATAGAAGAAAAGAGGTTCATATGGCTGCATCAGCTCTTTAATGACCTGAAAATCAAAAAGGAATCCTACAAAAAGTGGAAATGGACAAATTGCTAAGGGGGAATATGAAATAATAGCACAAGCATGTGGGGACAAAAATCATAAAGGCTAAGGCACAAAATGAGTTACACCTAACAAAGGACATAAAAGGCAATAAAAAGAGGTTCTATAAATATATTAGCAACAAGAGAAAGATGAAGGAACAAGTAGGTCCTCTATTTAGCAAAGGAGAGCTAGTAATGGACAACATTAAGAAGGTTGAGGTGTTTAGCGTCTATTTTGCTTGTTTTGTCTAAAATAGTTAATTGTGACCAGATGCTTAACACAATATTAACAACCAGGGAGACAGAACACACTCTAGAATAAAGAAAGAATAGGTTAAAGAATATTTAGATAAGTTAGTCTTGATGAAATTCACCCAGTACTAGCTGAAGTAATCTCAGAACAATTAGTGATCATCTTTGAGAACAGTTGGAGGAGGGGCGATGTTTCAGAGGACAGGAGAAAGGTACTGTTTGCCTGCTTTCAGAAGAGGAACAAAGATGACTTGGGGCATTATAGAATAGTCAGTATAACTTTGATATTTGGAAAGATACTAGAACATAATATTAATCAATTTGTAAACACCTAGAGGATAATAGAGTTATAAGTAATAACCAATTTGGATTTGTTGGGAAAAAATCTTGCCAACCAATCTAATTTCCCTTTTTTGAGAGGGCTAGAGGGATGGGAGAAATAGTAGACATGATATATCTTGATTTTTTTGACACTGTCCTACGTGGCATTCTCATAAGCGACCTAGAGAAATGTGGTCTAGATGAAGTTACTATAAAGTGGGTGAACAACTGATCGGAAAAACTGTACTCAAAGAGTAGTTATCAATGGCTTGTTGTCAAATTGAAAGTACATATCTAATGGGGTCCCACAGGGGTCTGTCCTTGGCCTGGTACTCATACTATTCAGTATTTTTATTAATGAGTTGGAGTGGAGGGTATTATAAAATTTGCAGCTGGGATTGGTCCATAGCACTTTGGAGAACAGGATTAGAATTCAAAATGATCAGGGCAAATTAGAGAATTGGTCTGAAAATCAACAAGAGGAAATTCAATAAAGAAGTGCAAAGTATTGCACTTCAGAAGGAAAAAAATCAAATGAATAACTACAAAATGGGGAATAACTAGTTAGGCGGTAGTACTGCTCAAAAGGATATCTGAGGGTTATAGTAGATCACAAATTGAATATGAGCCAACAATGTGATGCAGTTGCAAAGAAAGCGAATATAATTCTGGGGTGTATTAACAGGAGTGTCATATCTAAGAAACAGAAGTTAATTGTTCTTCTCTATATGGCTCTGGTAAGGCCTCAATTGAAGTATTGTGTCCAGTATGAACAAACTGGAAAGAGTCCAGAAAAGAGCAATGAAAATGATCAAAGGGTTAGAAAACCTGATCTATGAGGAAAGATTTAAAAAAAATTGGGTGTGTTTAGTCTTGAGAAAAGACAACTGAGGTGGGAGCTGATAAGTCTTCAGATATGTTAAGGGGTTCTATAAAGAGGATTGTGATCAGATGTCCTCTGTGTCCATTGAAGGTAGGGCAAGAAGTATGGCTTAATTTGCAGCAAGGGAGATTTAGGTTAGCTATTAGGGGAAAGTTTCTAACTATAAAGATAGGTAAGTACTGGAATAGAATACTAAGGGAGATTGTGGAATTACCATGATTGTTGGTTTTTAAGAACAGGTTAGACCAGTGGTTCTCAAACTTTTTAGCAACCCGAGGACCCCCATTTTGATTTAAAAATTTTTGTGGACCCCAAGATCCCTGCTCAGCCTCAGGCCCCACCCCCCACCCTTCCCCCAAAGTCCCACCCCATCTCTTCCTGCCCCTGCTGTACCCCTGCCCCTCCTCTTTCCCGCCTCTTTCTGCCCTCTCCCCTGAGCGCGCCCCGTCCCCGCTCCTCTTCCTCCCTCCCAGTGCCTCCTGCACCCCGCTGAACAGCTGTTTCCTGGTGTGAAGGAGGCACTGGGAGGGAGGGGGAAGAAGTTGATCAGTAGGGCCAGCGGCCCTGGACATGATTCCGCCCCCTGCCCTGAGTGCGCCCCGTCCCTGCTTCTCCCTTTCTCTTCCAGCATCTCCTGCATGCTGCTGAACAGCTGTTTCCTGGCATGCAGGAGGCACTGGGAGGGAGGGGGAGGAGTTGAGTTGATCAACGGGGCCCATAGACCCCTGGAGTACCCTCATGGACCCCCAGGGGTTCGCAGACCCCAGTTTGAGAAACTCTGGATTAGACAAACATTGTCTAGGTATACAGTACTTGGTTCTGCCTCAGCTCAGGGGACTCTACTAAATGACTTCTCAAGATCCCTTCCAGCCTTACACTGGGTCAGCCCTGCCATGGCCCTTCCCACCACTCCAGTTTTTGGGAAGCTAATGCTTCTGGTTTGCCAGTGGGATTGTGCCCTGCCCTCAAGAGAGGCACAAGAGGCATGGAAAGCTCCTTGTGTCCTTTCTTCCACTTGCATATCTGTGCAGAGCTAAGATAGCCACCGTCCTGATCCTAAATCGTGCTATGTTAATGCTTTTGTAGCAGCTAGCCCAAAGGAGCCTTGATGATGACCAGGGTTTGTAGGTGCTACCATAGTATAAATATTTATTAATGATAATAATTAACAACAACAACAACCAGTTGCAGGATGAGTTGTAGATACTGATTTAGTGAATTCTGAAGACATTATTGGTTGGGAAACAAATGGATTTATTTTAACTAGCATTTGACAGTGTCACATTGAGTTTTGCCAAGTTAATAAGCAGGATGCAGCTTTGATAAACTGTCCTACTGCAACAACAAAGTTTACTTCAGTTTGGCCAGAAATGCAGCCTCACCCTTTTCCACCGCTTTCCAACACAGATGTTTTCAGTTTTAAAGGAGCTGTATTTTAGGTTGACTATCTTTAATGAAATCTGTTATAACACTATTTGCCAAAGTATTTGTTATCTTCAAGCATGCTTGGCTTCTCCATTTTTGCTGTCAAAGAAAGTGATTTGGGTTTTTTCCCTCTAGGTCTAGAAACTTGACCTATGAGAGAAGATTGAAAATACTGGGTTTGTTTAGTCTGGAGAAAAGAAGACTCAGAGGGGACATAACAGTTTTCAAGTACATAAAAGGTTGTTATAAGGAGGAAAAATTGTTCTCCTTAACCTCTGAGGATAGGACAAGTAAGCGGCTTTCATTGCAGCAAGGGCAGTTTAGGTTGGACATTAAGAAAAACTCCCTAACTGTAAGGGTGGCTAAGCACTGGAATAAATTGCCTAGGGAGGTTGTGGAATCTCCATCACTGGAGATTTTTAAGAGCAGGTTAGACAAACACCTGTCAGAGATGGTCTAGATCGGGGCAGGCAAACTTTTTGGCCTGAGGGCCTCATCGGGTTTCGGAAATTGCATGGAGAGCCGGTTAGGGGCGGGAGTTGTGGCCCCCTCCCACCCGGGACTCTTGCCCCATTCAACCCCCCTGTTCCCTGCCCTCTGACTGCCCCGCCCCCTATCCACACCCCCGCCCCCTGATCACCACCACCCCGAACTCCTCTGCCCTCTATCCAAACCCCCGCTCCCTTCCCCCTTACCACCCTGCCTGGAGCATCGTTGGCTGGCAGTGCTACAGACGCACCGCCCCGCTGGAGCCAGCCACGCCATCGCCACCGCGTAGCACAGAGCACCGGGTCAGGCCGAGCTCTGCAGCTGCGCTGTCCCAGAAGCTTGCAGCTACGCCGCCCAGAAGATTGCGCCGGTGGTGGAGCGAGCTGAGGCTGCAGGGGAGGGGGAACAGCAGGGGAGGAGTCGGGGGCTAGCCTCCCAGGCCAGGAGCTCAGGTCTACATAATATTTAGTCCTGCCATGAGTGCAGGGGACTGGACTAGATGACCTCTCAATGTCCCTTCCAGTCCTATGATTCTCCTACTCACATTCTTCTTTCAGCTTTTTAGAGTTTCTCAGATTTGCATATTAATAAATAGTAGTAAAACCTAGCATTTGTACAGCACTTTACATTTTTAAGTCATTGATCAGATATTAATTAATCCTCACAACACTGCTACAAAGTAAGTAAATTAGTAGTATGCCAGTTTTACACACGAGGAAACCATTCTTTCTTGGCTATTTTTTAAATGTGCAAAATACAAAGGAATATTTTCTTTACTTTTCAGATCAGCCATTTAGTGAATCCAATGTGATGACATTTCAAAGAGTATTCATTAGCTTGGGTTATAAAAATTGTAAAGGGTTTATTTTATTTGAGTTGATTTTTATGTATTTTCACTTATGCAAAATTCTGTTCACAGTTACATAAGTATAACCCTGATGTCTAAAGAGGAATGTGCCCCTTTATCATTAATATCAATATTGCTGAAAAACAAAAAGCAGACCATCACCAGCCAAAGTAGTATCAATTGTGTCACTCAGAAATTTTCTGAATGTCTTGTGAAAAGGTGATTATTAAGAGAACAAAGGAATATTTCGATGACAAAATGTAATTTTAAGAACTTTAGAACAGAGCAGATAATTTAGTGGATTCAGATTTTATGTGAGTTTCTTGCTTTTCAGAGGAATAGGTGTAAGAATGACAGACCCAGTTTACCTTAGTCCTTCGTTGGACAATGTGCTGTCCAGTTACTTGTTTTTGCAGGTAAGTGCATTACTAAATAGGGCTGTACAATTTTCAGAAGAATGAATATCCTTCAAGTGGTTCATTAGAACTCTAAAGGGTTTCCATTTTCAGAGTGCTTCCATAACACCCATTTCAATACTTTCTTCACGGACGTTGGATATAGATAGAATATAGATAATGCCCCCACCTGTGCCTTTCCCACCATAGTGGTCATTCTACATCCTGCAGGCAGCATACAGGCAATATTTTCCCAAGTCACCAAGCAGCAAGGAGAAATATATAGACACTCGTCACCAAAGCCAGTAGAGCCATCCAACATCTCCCAGGAACAGACTTTTGAGGAAACAGAGCAGTAATTAGAGCAGGAGGCTTTTCTTGCAACCAAATCATCTTCCTCATCTGACAAGACCATCATGCTCTGCCCCCTACTACCGGAGAAGATTTCAAACAGTTTCAGGAACTGTTTAAAAGAATAACTGACACGCTTCAAATCTCTCTTAAAGAGGTTACCGAATCTCAGCATAAGCTCATGCACATACTCCACACTGACATCTTCCAAGATTGCCTTGCCCATAAACAAGACCATTATGGAGCCCGCCACAACCATCTGGAAAACCCGGGCCACAATCCCACATACATGTAAGAGGGCGGACAAAAAATATTGTGTCCCTTTGAAGGGGCTAGAATTTTTATTTTCCCACCCCTGATCAAATTCTCTTGTGGTGGACACTGTTAATGAAAGAACATAAAAACGGCCGTACTGGGTCAGACCAAAGGTCTATCTAGCCCAGTATCCTGTCTTGCAACAGTGGCCAATGCCAGGTGCCCCAGAGGGAATGAACAGAACACATAATCATCAAGTGATCTATTCTCTTGTCGCCCATTCCCAGCTTCTGGCAAACAGGCTAGGGATACCATCCCTGCTTATCTTGGCTAATAGCTATTGATGGACCTATCCTCCATGAATTTATCTAGTTCTTTTTTTAACCTTGTTAGAATCTTGGCCTTCACCACATCCTCTGGCAAAGAGTTCCACAGGTTGACAGTGTGTCGTGTGGAAAAAATACTTCCTTTTTGTTTGTTTTAAACCTGCTGCCTATTAATTTCATTTGGTGGCCCCTAGCTCTTGTGTTATGAGAAGGAGTAAATAACACTTCTTTATTTACTTTCTCCACACCAGTCATGATTTTATAAACCTCCATCATATCCCCCTGTAAGAGGTCAGACTCACCCCTGCGGCGCCTCCTGCTGGTTATCCTGGGAGTTAGCTCACTCCAGCCTGGAGCGCCCTCTGCAGGCCAGTGATCCACCTTGTCGTTAGCGCTGGCCCCCATATACCTCCCAGGACCCCGGTACTCCTTGCTCTGGGTGCTGCCCCCTGGCAGTACCCACACATGCTGGGTCTCCCCTCCCAGAGGAACCCCCACCCACTAACCCCACTTCGCCTCAGTGTAAGGCTACTGCCAGTCATCGTCTAGCCCCATGCCTGGGACAGACTGCAGTATCAGCCTACTCATCACTGGTAAGGAGGGTTTGGACCTGCTGTCTTGGCCCACCTCTGGGCTGCCCTCTGCAACCCCCAGTACCCCTTGGCCCAATGCTAGGCCACAGCCTGGGGCTTTCCAGGTTGGAGCTCCCCAGCTCCTCAGCCTTTCCCCAGCCCTGCTCCACTCAGGTACCCTGTCTCCAGCTCCCGGCAGCCAGACCCTTCTCTCTCTGAGTGCAGAGAGAGACTCCTGAGCTCCTGGCTCCCAGCCTCTTTATACAGGCCAGCTGGGTTCTGATTGGGGCATGGCCCAGCTGCAGCCACTTCCCCAATTAGCCCAGCTTTTAGAGCTACAGCTTTCAAGCCCTCCCAGGCCACTTTTTAAACCCCTCAGGGCAGGAGCGGGTATCCACCCCGCTACACTCCCCTTAGTCATCTCTTATCCAAGCTGAAAAGTCCCAGTCTTATTAATCTCTCCTCATAAGGCAACATTATTCCAGGTCCACACCTCATCATAAGAAGTGGAAAAGGCTGGATTTACTTGGCCACAAGGCCTACTCTTCAGCAACATTACTGTTTAGAATTGCCAATTATGAAGCTCTCTTGGCAAAATATGACCATACAACATATTCAAAATTAGCAGACTGTATTGAATTTATACCAGAGGAAAAGAGAGAGCAGTTTACATTGCTCATTTCTGAAGGCCACCTTCTATGTCGAACAGCCCTTCAGGCAACACTGGATTCTGCTAACACTGTGGCGAGGACAATCACAACGGCCATCTTAATACGCCGGGCCTTCTAGCTGCACCTGTTGGGGTTTCCAAGGGAGGTGCAATCAGCAGCAGATGACCTTCCTTTCGAAGGTCCGAAGCTGTGTGCCAGCAAGATTGACAAGTTTCCTTAAAGGACTTGAGAGTCACTCTTAGATCTCTAGGCATCTATACACCTGCAACAAAATGCAAACAGGGCAAGTATTATACGTCATAACATCTTAGGCTCTGTACACACACAACCAGAAACAGTATGATCCTAAAAGATGTAGGCAAAGACCACCCAAACGAAGATCAAATTCTTCACAGCTGTCCACATCACAGCAACCCACCTCCAAACAACAAATTTGAAGATTTGGTTGTGGGATTGACAGACCTCCCCCAACTATTGTTGCTAACTCCACACTCCACCAATCATCTGTTTACAGACCATCTGGTACCACTCTATCCATTCTCGCGTATTTATCACTTCTGACAAATGGGTACTAGAGATCAGCAAAACCAGCTATTCCATCCAGTTCCTCTCCATCCTCCCTCCCCGCCCCTCTTCAGGGGACCCCTCTCACGAGTCACTCTTGAGGCGGGAAATAGAACACCTTCTGCAATTAGGCATGGTAGAACCAGTGCCAGTACAACACAGCAGGAAAGACTTCTATTCCCATTATTTTTTAACACAGAAGAAGTCTGGGGAATGGAGACCCATTCTCGACCTCAGGAAACTAAACAAATTTATCAAAACACAACATTTCAGGATAGTAACTTTAGCAACAGCATTTCCTTCTGTGGAATGAGGGGATTGGTTTGTAGCCCTCGACCTGCAAGATGCATATTTTCACGTCATCGTGCACACAACACACAGGCAGTTCCTCCGATTTGTATTGGGACAGGACCACTTCCAATACACGGTACTACCCTTTAGTCTCTCCATGGCCCGTTGAGTGTTTTCCAAAATTCTAGCAGTGGTGGCAGCCCACCTGAGCAAGCAAGAGGTCATGATCTACCCATATTTAGACTATTGTCTAATCAAGGCTCACACTCGAGAAGAAGCCGTCGAAGCCATGCAAAAGACAATGTCACTTTTCATAGATCTCAGTCTACAAATAAACCTTCAAAAGTCAACGCTAACACTAGTTCAACAACTGGACTTTATTGGGGCCCACCTAAACTCTATAGAGGCAAAAGCATCACTATCCCCTCAGAGAGTCGTTGCCCTGACAAACTTGATCGATACCACGATACACAGTCTACAAGTATCCGCTAGGACCTGCCTTCGTCTACTAGGTCACATGGCGGCGACCACATATGTCATAAGTCAGTGGTTTTCAAACTTTTGTACTGGTGACACCTTTCACACGGCACGTCTCTAAGTGCGACCCCTCCCTTGTAAATTAAAAACACTTTTTTTTTTCTTTAACACTTATAAATGGTGGAGGCAAAGCAGGGTTTCGGGTGGAGGCTGACAGATCGCAACCCCCATGTAATAAGCTTGCGACCCCCAGTTTGAGAACCTCTGTCATAAATCATGCCAGACTATGCATGCGCTGCCTGCAAGCTTGGCTCAGGATAGTATACATCTCACACAAACACAGACTGAACAAACTCCCCTAAGCATGCCAGTTAAGGTTATCCCATCTCCTAGAACTGGAAGGGACCTTGAAAGGTCATCGAGTCCAGCCCCCTGCCTTTACTAGCAGGACCAAGTACTGATTTTGCCCCAGATCCCTAAGTGGCCCCCTCAAGGATTGAACTCACAACCCTGGGTTTAGCAGGCCAGTGCTCAAACCACTGAGCTATCCCTCCCCCGTTAAGGACTCGTTACAGTGATGGACCCACCTGTACAACATGTGTGCAGGTGTCCCCTTTCTACACCTCTGCCCCCCGCCCCGAAATGATCATTACAACTGATGCCTCCCTACTGGGATGGGGTGCCTGTTTAGACAGTCTCACAGCACAGGGCAGGTGGTCTCCTTTGGAATCAACACTCTGCATGAACATTCTGGATCTGCAAACAGTTCATAATGCCTGTGCGCACTTCATGCCTCTAGTTGAAAACAAAGCCATACAGGTCATGACGGACAATGTGGGAGGAGCGAGAATGTACTCCCTATGCACAGAGGCCAAAAAGTTGTGGACATTGTGCATCTGACACAACATTAACATATCAGCCACCTACCGGGATCTCAGAACATCACAGCGGATGCGCTAATCTGAAAGTTCACGCATGACCACCAGTGGGAAATAAATACCTCCCTGATCCAGAACATATTTCAAAGATGTGGGTTTCCCTATTTGCCAGAAGCTGGAACAGCAAATGTCCAACATTTTGCTCCAGAGTGGGTCTGGAACCAAAATCCAGAGGAGATGCATTTTTCATCCAATGGGACATACCTCTCCTGTACGCCTTCTCTCCCATCCCACTACTGCCCAGAGTCACACAAGATCAGATCTGATCAAGCCAAAGTCATTCTGATTAGCTCCAGCATCCCCAGGCAAACATGGTATCTATACCTACAACAGATGTCAGCATGCCCACTATAAGTCCTTCCACTTTTTCCAAATCTCCTCTCTTAGGATGCATACCAAACTCTGCAAACATGGAGATGGTCCATCCGAGAGTCTGGCTCCTCAGTGATTCCCAGGTGAGGAGATGATCTGCTCCAAAGAAGTTAAGGACATCTTGCTAAACAGCAGACGGACAATTACACGCTCAACATACCTCCACAAATGAAGAGATTCCGCATGTGGTGCCTAAACAAACAAATGGAAGCCACCAATTCTACCCTGCCCATAGTCTTGGGCTACATACTTTACCTTAGGAAATCAAGTCTCAATGAATTAATTACAAGTACATCTGGCAGCTATTACAACCTTCCACCACAAGGTGGATGATTTTTTGATCTTTGCACACTCAACTACTAAAAGAATCCTGCAGGGCGTTTGTAACCTCTACCCAGAACCTAGAGCCCCAACTGCTCCGTGGGACCTCACCTTAGTGCTTTGATCTCTGACGACTACCCCATTCGAACCTCTGGCTACGTGTTCACTACTACATCTTTCCATGAAAGTAGCCTTTCTAGTAGTCATCACATCAGTGAGGCATGTTGGAGAAATAGGGGCCTTAATGGCAGACACACCATATACAATTTTTCTTAAGAATAAGGTCACTCTGAAACCCCACCCTAAATTCTTGCCTGAAGTCTCTTCTTCATTTCACCTCAACCGACCCATCCATCTTCCCACATTCTTCCCTAAACCTCATAAGGATAGGCAAGAGGTGACATTCCACATTCTGGATGTTAGAAGGGCACTAGTCTTTTATCTAGAATGGACCCAGCTGTTCAGAAAAACTTCTAAGCTGTTCCTCTCCACCAGGAACGCTACAAAGGCAAACCCATTTCTAAGCAGACTTTTCAAATGGATTTCGGACTGCATCCAGCTCTGCTACTGTCAACATGGCTACAGCCCCCTTCACAGGTCAGAACACACTCCACAAGAGCAGTAGCCACATCAGTAGCCTTCTTGAATGACGTGCCTTTTAATGTCATATGCAAAGCAGGTACTTGGGCATCACCCCACGCATTCATACAACACTATGCATCTGACACTCGGCTGGGACACACGGTCCTATCGTCCATTCAGATTTAACTCCGATCCCCTCCTTCCACCTGAGGTGCACTGCTCTACGGTCACCTAAAGTAGAGCACCCACAGGGACATCACTCGAAGAAGAGAGGGTTACTCACCTTGTGCAGTAACTGAGGTTCTTCAAGATGTGTGTCCCAGTGGGTGCTCCTCTATCCTTCCCCCCTCCCCTCTACTTTTGGAGTTCTAATTAGTCCTCTGCCGTAGAGAGGGAACTGAGCAGGTGCTGCTCAGCGCTAATCAACTGCCACAACAGGCGCAAGCCGGAGAGAGCACATTCTCTGACTAGAGATGCAGAGTGCTCAATCACCTAAAGTGGAGCACCACGGGACACACATCTCGAAGAACCTCAGTTATAGCACAAGGTGAGTAACCCTCTATTCTCCCCAGTACATGTGCTCTGTTAATACAGTGCAAAGCTTGCTTGCAAGTGCCTTAAATCATGTGTTTGAGATCTAATATGTTAGCATTGGAGCTCTAGCTTTGGAGCTGTAGTTTACATTTGTAAAAAATTAAATTTCCGTTAGTATTCAGATTAAGGAACGTGATTAGCTAATCTACAAACACCTTGTCTCTACCAAAACAATCTGCATCTCTGTCGCCTTCCTGGTCTCTCTCAGCATGCCCCCTCATGTCAGGCTTCTTGCCTTCCCCTGTCTTCAGGTGGAATTCCACAGTTCTCCCACTCCATACCAGGCCCTGGGCTACCATACCTTGTGTATCAACTGTGCTTGTTCAGAAGCTCTGACTCTGGTTCTTCCCTTGTGATCAGTGGTATATATAGTGACCAGAGAGCCACCTTAAACCCAAAGGATTGTTTATTTTACCAGTCGGAACAAAGCTTTTAGAGAAAAGGGATTTTAAAACAAACAATATACACACAAATCTATCTTGTCCATAGGCTTGCCATTCCTGAGGGTGGCCTAGGCAGATCTAACTTCTTCAGGCACTCCAGTGGGTGCTGGGTGTCAGCTGGGTGGCTGAACAGCTCCTCAATTAGCCTCCCCACTAGAGAGAGGGAGTTTTCTACACATGCAGCGCTGCAGCTGCACTGATGCAACTGTGCCACTACAGCACTTCTGGTGAAGACGCTCTATGCTGATGGGAGAGAGCTCTCCTGTCGGCGTAAAAAACCACCTCTGCGTTCCATGGTTTACTCCGGCGCTTATGTCAGTGTAACTTATGTTGTTCAGGGGGGTGGTTTATTTACACCCCTTGAGCAACATAAATTATGCTCACATAAGCTGTAGTGTAGACATAGTCCATGGCACTTTTTATCCAGTCAGAGTTCCTTTGTTTCTGTCAGATCCTGGGCTTCAGCCCTGCTTCTCAGATCAGATCAGTAGGCTCTACAGGAGATTGAGGCAGACTCCAGAGCTAAGGACTCTGCCATTGTCCCATACCAACCCTCAAATGTTTGCTGAGGGATGGTTTATTTTGAGCCATTATTCTGCTTCCTAGTTGCTTTCTTTACAGCCCTTCATTAAGCTAAACAAACAAATTCATACAGTAAATCTCCTAATGACCAGGTCAACATGGTATTACAGGGCAGCTCCACGTCAGTCACAGTATCATCCTGTTTTATTTAGCTTTATAGTTGCCTTAGTCAGTCATGAATCCCCAGGAAATGCCCAGCGTCTCAATTGTTAATGTTTAAGTTTAGGAGAAAAGCAACCAGAGATGTAAAGTGAAAGTGAAAGATATACACTTAATATGAAGTATTTAAATTGAAATTATTTAAGCTCTGTAATGGAGAGAGCAACAAAAATATAAGTGCCTTCACTGCTTGATGAGACGGTTTTCAGTATATATTCCCTACATTTGTCATCCCTGAAACAAGACTATTTTAAAGCACTATTTCAACCTTTTTGTTTTAATGATAGAACTTGCCCTCTGCAGTTGTAAGCCATGTTTTAAACCCTCAGCCAGGAGAGAGAATTCTGGACATGTGTGCTGCACCTGGGGGAAAAACAACCCATCTTGCAACATTAATGCGTGACCAGGTAAGAAAAGTCATTGAGCATTTTTTATCTCAGTAAGGAAGGTTTGACCTGCATTTCATTAGCATGGCTCACTTCGCTTATCTATTGATATCCAACGATAACACAAAATAGAAAACCATTAATATTTGAATATGCTGCTTACTTTGCAGCATGTCAGAATTATTGAAATAAATACAGGTCTGTCTTTTCACATAGTCACTTATTACAAATAGAACCTTATTTGCCTCAAACTAACTGATCTGGTTTTAGTGGACATTTGTGACCAAAGTTTTTTTAAAAAGTGTTCAAATCTTTGTTTAGCAGAAGCATTAATAATGTGTAGGGCAGTGTTGAGGAATGTACAAGAGGAGGATGTATGGGAAGCATAATGAGTTATTTCTAAAGTGCCATAAGACTCCACAACTTTTTAAAAAACACAGAAAGACAAAGTCCTTGCCCTAAGGAGTTTTTCAGTCTAGGAGACAAGTAAAATACAATATAAATAGGGCTTCTGATTTTAACAGATTAACACTGTTAAAACACCCCAATGCAAATAAATAAATCAATAAATCACTGTTTATCCAATAGACACTGGAAATGGCTACTTGTATCTAATGGCTCGTCTACACAGATCAGTAATGCTGAGTAGAGGGGTGTGATTTCTAAAGCGTACTAATGTGTTGTGCATTAATTGGTCTATGTAAACCCTGCTGGCATGCACTAAAGAGTCCCTGGTGAGCTTTAATGTATAATGCAGTTTGAAACGATACTGTATTAAAGCACACTCATTGTTCTTTGAGTGATCGCACATGTGCATTCCCCTTTTGGTATGTGTGCATCCCGTGCACAGTCATTGAAAATTTTTCCTTTTGGGCGACTTGAGCACCCTCTGCTGCTGCGCACCACTGTGCACTGGTATAAAAGGCCCAACTGCCCGATAGCTCCCTCAGTTCCTTCTTCCTCTCGTGAGGGTTGTTGGAATCACTTGGCTTGCCTTAGCAAGTGCTCTTAATATTTGTGTTCATTGTAAATTAATCGTAGATAGTTTTCTAGATAAGTGGTTTGCAATCTTTTCTCTGCTGTGGCACACCTTTAATTATTTTGAGGCACACCACCATATTGTCTCCAAATGAACTCTGCCTCTTATTGTCTCAGTTTAAGCTGTTTACCACCCTTGGCATTCACAGTTTGTACAATACTGTTAATTATGTTACAGTCTAACATCAATAACTATCTTGTACAGACTGTGACAAGTATTTTCAGTTGACTCACACATTCACACCAACAAGATGCCAAATAAAAAACTTGCTTTATTATATGATGAACAACAAATAATACAAAAGTTGTACCATTCAAGAAACCTCAACTAACAATATTATATATCAAGATTTATGGTATTACCTTTTCATCTTTGAGGCACTTCTTTTTTTGTATGGCTTTGGAAGTGAGCATCATCAAATGCCTAACTCCAGGTCAGAGATCCAAGCCTAGCACTATCTGATGTGGAATGGAACTCCAAAATGCTGCCCTGAATTCAATGAATAGAGCAGTGATGCATGCTAAGATTCACAGTCTGTGATGAGTGACTACAAATTATATAAAAAAAATACAAATAACAAAAAAAACTTTTAATGAGACAGCTGAGCTTGTCTTGGTGCACAGACTCATTTAATCCTGGGAGCAAATGTTGACAGTGCCACCCTGAACTCTTGAGATTACAGGATATTCGCCTCCCACTTCAACCAGAAAGAGTCCAATAGCGTGTCATCAACCTTTATTTTCAAAGTGTGAACCATTTTAATTTGGCAAGCTGATCTTGAGCCATTATTGCCACATTCTTAGTGCTTTGCATCGCAGAGGAACTTCAAGGATCTTCGACCCAGTCGAAATCTTCTCTATTAATTGAAGGAAAATATTAAATAACATTTTCTTCCAGACTTTCCAAATGCTCACAAACAATGTTGACCAAAATACTGCCAGCAGGATCTGCTGCATTTGCCAAAGGGAACATTTCTATTGTTCCTTTTGCTACTTTTTCACACCAGAGGGATAACTTAGGCCGGGGTGGGCAAACTTTTTGCCCCGAGGGCTACATCTGGGTATGAAAATTGTATGGTGGGCTATGAATGCTCACGAAATTGGGGTTGGAGTGCAGGAGGGGGTGAGGGCTCTGGCTGGGGGTGTGGGCTCCAGGATGGGGCCAGAAATGAGGAGTTCAGAGTACGGGAGGAAGCTCCGGGCTGGGGCAGGGAGGGAGGAGTGCAGGGGGGAGTGAGGGCTCTGCGGTGGGGCTGGGGATGAGGGGTTTGGGGTGTAGAAGGATGCTCTGGGCTGGGTCTGAGGGGTTTGGAGGGTGGGAGGGGGATCAGGGCAGGGGGGTGGCTCAGAGATGCAGGCTCCTGGAAGCAGCGGCATGTCCCCCCTCTGGTTCCTTCGCAGAGGTGCAGCCAATGGGAGCTGTGGGCGTGGCACTTGGGATGCGGGCAGCATGTGGAGCAGAGCCCCCTAGCTGCCCCTACGCGTAGGAGTGTTGTACTTAAAGTACTGCACAGGATCTTTTCAGGGGGAATAAGGCAGAACGCCACATTTATTAGTAATACATGTATTCATTAACACTGTATTATATGCATATAATATATTACACTTACGCTCACACACACACACACACACACACACACACACAC